TACATTCAGTAAAGAAATCTACAGGCAGATAGACGGTGTAACAATGACTTTTTCTCTAGGACCCTTCTTGACTGACTGCTTTATTGCAAGCCTAGGAAACAACTCCTTACTACCAGCTATCAGCTGGCGGCATCTCTTCAAGGGATACACTGATAATAATTCCACCATTTGGGTTGGGAATTTGAATCTTAGAAACCTACTCTAAACCTTCAGTAATGTCCAGCAAAACATAAAATTCTCTTTGAATGTTCAATATCCTCGATGTTCAACTCTGAAGAAATGCTGATAACTCATTGAGGCGATCTTTATGCAAAAAGTCCACACGGAATGGACAGCTTTTCGATTCCAAAGTAATATTTCCCTAAAGAGAAAGTGAAACCACAAATATTCTCTTTCCTCGAGGATCTGGAAAATATGTACTTAGGAATCTAGTGAGGAAAAACTGCTAATTGTTGATGGAATATGGTTTCCCATCTAGATTTATAGACAGGAGCTTAAAGCCAAAAACAGCTTCTGAACAGATCCAAGTCACTCCGAAAAAGATACTGATGCTTATTCTCGAATGTAAAAGTTATACTGAGGCAGAAATCTCCCATAGACGGTTTTCAAAATCTCTTAGTAGTCAACAAGTGAAATATTCCTACAGGAAACTATCCAGTCAGCATGTGTAGGAAAATCTGGCATACTAGGCCTTTTTGACATGCATATACTAGTTCACTTGTTATTTTGGAGCCAAGTACATTGGCAATACCTTAGCTTGGTAATAGAACATCTGCTGTACTTGGGAAATTCAGCTCCATTTGAAAAGTCTTTCGAAGTTATTTACAAGATCCGATCAAACATCTAAAAGGCAGTGAGATCAAGGCATCTGGCAATAGCTGAGGCCCTAGTGATGAAGTAGTTCAAACCCATGACCATCTTAAATAGTTGTTTCTCTCAATACTGATTATCTTACCACTTTCTTTATCCAAAGTTTTTCTTTACTGCTCTTATTTTTAAGTATTTCAATCCGTATCTGAAATATTATTCACTTGACTTTTCTCCGGAGATATTTCTGATAGTTCTTCACCCATTTACGATAACAACACGAAGGCACAGCTTAGCTGATGACTTAGTCGAAAAGAAAAAGAGTTTCTTCTTTACAGCCGTCTTCTTAATATTTCCTATGATACTGATGAGGAATTACCATTTGAGTTTCGTAGCACTAAAACAGTAACATAGATTACTGGAAATGAAAATATGGATTTCAGTATTCATCTGTTGCATAGCCTTAGTAGATGTTTGTGAAAGAATAATCCAAATAACTCTGTCTGCTTAAAACGAATCACCAAAAGGCTTCAAATTAGTTTAAACATAAATGCTGTTTCAGAATAAAAGTCTAACATCCGTAATTAATCCTAAATTCCCCAAAATAGGATAATCTAAATATCAATCCCCAGCTCGCTTATATCTACCGAATAGATTTCTTGAAGCTGTAGTAGGGATTCATGACCATTACCGTCAACTATGTCAAGATGAATCAGATGATCAATAAAGCCACTGGTGATGGCAACGCTATACCGCCAGTTGTGGAAGTTAGTATTCGTCGGCAACTAAGTTCCAACAGAAGTGGCGAATGATAAACGAGCTTGATCTCTGAACCTGAATGTCCCAAATTCTATCCCTAGTGGCGTTGTAAAGGAACGCACTGATGGAGAGCCTCGGAATGGGATGGAACAGCCTTCCAGTGTTCCCTGGTTTTCAGTAATGTCTTTGACTGATATTGATTCGTGATTGAAATCCAACAACTTCAATTTAACAGTAATCATTGGGATAAACCCTTTATGGTTAAATGAGTAGCGTAATTACTTCTAGCCAATTTGGTTGATGGTAACAAGCTGTGGAATACAGAATGCGCATTTCGTCCTGTTTGACACTCGTCAACTGGATGTAACTGAGGAATGCAGGTCCATCCAGCTGAAAAGTCTTAAATAGGACGAAATGAACATCGTGGGATGCACTTGTAGTCGCCATTCATGGAATTACTTCAATGTAGTCCTCCGATATGCCCAAAGCACCTCAAGAGTAGCCGTATGTCAACCTGAGACCAATCACTTTGGTCCAATCAATTGATGGGAAAATCTAAATTGAAATTAAGTTACTACTTCCCAATAAAAATATGCAGAACGCCACAAAACACAGAGGTAATTAATGATAAATAGCTTACATCATTCCTTATACCGAAGTTTAGGTGAACACACAGAACAGCCGGAATATCATTACTTATCTGAATTACGTCATAATATCATCTTTATATTACTTGTATAATATATAATATTGATCGTAAAATATTTCTTGAAAACCGTATTTCAAGTAACCGAGGAATAAAATTTTCAGATGCGAATTATCATTTTTATATACCTCTTTATTGTTTATGCGAAAACACTGCCGAAAAGGTCTCCTTAGAGATAAATGTATTGCTCCTAAAATAAATGAACTTGTCAGTTTTTTTGAAGATGTAATTAATGTTTTGTAACATTTGTTGTAGTCATTTCAGATAGCTTGAAACTTGTCTTATGTTATGCGGAATATCCTTAAAGAATGTCATTTGTTACTGCCTAGCACTTATGACAGCGGAATGTAGAATGCTTTTTCTAATGAAGATATAATATTTCTACAGCTTCAGTTTTCTTGAATTCCACATATCTGTTTTACCATAATAGTGATCTGGACTTCCCCGATGATATGCGTCTGATTTCCCACAAAAAACTGGAAGATATGCAAGTGAAAAGCAACAAGCTGGCAGAAGAAGCATCAAAGATAGGACTTCAAGTGAACATAGTGGCGATGAAGCTTCCTCGCCACCAGCAACAGCAACAACAACAGACAACAATCAGCCCGCATAAGTGGGGGGAACCTGAAAGAAACAACCTCCTTTACCTACCTACCTACTTGGGAAGTATCGTTTCAACTACATACTGAAGAAACTGATGAGGATATCAAAGCAAGGATCGAGAAAGTAAGGCAATCTTTCATTACTCTCAAGTCTTTGTGGAGGTCAACAGCACTCAGCATCAAAAATAACATCCGGATTTTCAACTTCAATGTGAAGTCAGTGCTACTATATGGGTCAGAGACTTGGCACGTCATAAAGAGCACCTCAAACAAACTACACACCTTTGGCAAGAGCTGTCTTCGCTCAATACTCAAGATCAGATGGCTGGTCAGAAAAGATCAGCGGCAGAGAGGGATCTCTGGGAGCGAAGCAACTCATCAGGAATCGATTGTGAAACAAACAAGCATGAGGAAATGGAGATGGATTGGCCATACTCAGAGGATACCTTCAAGTGACATCACTAGAGAAGCCATCGCTCGAGTGCAACCTGAAAGGGAAGCGGCGAGTTCGTCGTCAGTGAGAGGGTGGAAGTCATGTGAAGAGGAGATGAAAGCATGTGGGCAGACTTGGAGCTAGGTGAAAAAGTTGGCAGAGTACCGAACGCAGTGGAGACGCGCGGTTGAAGCCCTATGTTCCTCTAGGAATTAAAGGATATAATAAATAACAGTAATAATAATAGTGATAACAGCTTTATTCTAGACAGTGTTTGTGTTTTCAGCGAAGTTTACGGCATCATATTTCCCCTATGTTCAAGATCTTCAAGTGGAAAATTAACTGACAGCAGATCCTGTGACACAGTGCTGTGTGATCTGAAGCACAATCCAATCAGTTACGTTATTTCTTCTTTGACTCCCTCAGGGAGTCCACGACACTTGGTTGAAAGTCAGTTGCAAAAAGTACAGGAGTACATTTGAGATCCAGTGACATAACTTGGGAATAGCTAGCTCACTTCTTAGTATATGTTGCCACCCATGGTTGTATCTCTTCTCAAGTTTAATAGAAACTGCTGAATCAGCATGTGGAAAAATTTTTTTAATATTCGCGAGAAATCATACGTTAATCGATTAAAACAAAGTGAAGAAGAGATATTATATGCAATATATAATGATAGAGACTTTTGGTAGCCCAAGTTTTAGGCTGGCTACCACTGTCTCGCTATTTGTATGGAAATCGATGAGTTTTTAAAATTTTTTCATGACAAGTCGGCATTCCACTGAAGAAAGACAGTAATGTTCATTCTGTAGAAAAATAATTTTCTGTTAATTTGCATGTTAAGAAATAAATATTATCTGATGTTCCAAATGTTTTGCAGAAAAGGACACTAGTTATGTCAACTGTCTTGACTCTTCTGCAGTTTGTATTCTGTATTATGAGTGTAAACAATTTATACTGAAATCGCAGAATAATACAAGCTGTAATCATGTATTATAATTAGGCGAAAATAATTACTTAAGTCTCTCCGAGGCCTGTGTAGCGATTTCATCTGTGACAAACATTGGGCACTAGTCAGAAATCGTAAACAGCAGGGTCCAGCAAGTCAGGTAAGTGACCGGTTGGAATTCATCAACCGACCATTGGATCTGGTCCCACTGGCTGATGGTCAATGACCTCGCCTTGTAACCGGAGGGTCCTGGGTCCAAGCTTCAGTTGGTGAACACTGTTGAAGACTCTCAAACTGGGACGAGACAGCTGTTGAGTACTTCAAGGTATTCCAATGGTTCTTCAACTAATTTCAATTCCTGATCGAATCTGTAATCAATCAGATCCCTACAGACCGACACTTGAGAGAAAGTATTTAATTGGGTGGGGATTTCATCATGAGCTGGTTTCAGTTTGAAAACCACTGGAACAACCGTTTCGTTCTAGTTCGAGTCTCTTCATCAGTGCGCCTCCATCGGGGTTCGAACTCAGGACCATGTGGTTACAAGGCGAGTTCGTAGACCATTAAGCCACTGCGTACTCCCAGGTTTTCCAGTTGTTCTTTAACTGATGTCAGTTCATGATTAAATCCACCAGCCAATCACACAAAAAAATCGTCACAAAACCAATACTTGAAGTAAGCATTTAACCTTTTTTATTATTATGTTTTCAAATCCCACTTACATCACTCTTATTTCTATTTCAGTTTAACACTTATCGGATTGAATTTGGGCAAATCTATTGTCCTGAGTATCATAGCTACAAATGAATTAAGTGAACATCTTTCACATATGGAGTTGATTCAATCTACCACCAGTATAACAATTCACCTACCTAAACCAAGTAAGCAATGATAGGAATTATATATATACCATTCTTAACAGTTTTAATATGCATAACAGGGTCAATAGGGGGAAAAATTAGGTACACAGATTTGCTTAAAAGCCTTATAATGGCACTTGAATAAGATTTTTATTCTTATTTCGTCCTGTTGACATGGATTAATCGAGTGACCTTAATCACAAGTCTGGTATATCTGAATTTCAAGTATCATTGTAAATAAATCGGTAACTTCTTGACCTTTTTGCCAAATGGTTTAATCCAAGTGTGGGTTGAAGAAGGAATCCTAAAGAAATAAAGCATTTCTACCAAGATATTAGCAGTGTCTCTTCATCAATCTAACTAATAGCCTAGATCAAATTTAGGGATAGGTTATTATTATTCCTTATGGTTCCACCATCAACGGGAGAGATTTGAAAGAGGTTAGTTACTTCATTGACTTATCTAGGGAGCATTGTCTCAACTACAGGCGATCAAAACGGACGAGAATGTCAAATCGAGAAGGCGAGAAACACATTCACCAACCTGTAACCGATCTGAAAATCTTCGTCACTCAGCATCAACAACAAAATTCAGTCGGATTTTCAATACAAACGTCAAGTCAGTTCTTCTATACGGAACGGATCATAAACCTGGTGGGCAGGTCACAAAGAATATTTCTAACACGCTATTGCAGACCTTTATCAACAACTGTCTTCACTCTATACTGAAGAGCAGATGGACGGGCCGGAAAGAATCACCAACAAGAATCACTATGGGAACAAAAGAAACAAGGATCAATCGCACAACAAATATGCAGGAGAAAGTGGAGATGCATTGGACACTCGCTGAGGAGGCCGCTGGGTGACATCGCGAGCGTCAGGCCATTGCTCGAATGGAACCAGGTCGAAAGGGAAGCGGCGACAAGGGACGTCAGTGCAAGGTTGACATGGAGGAGATCGTGTGAAGAGGAGTTGAAAGAGTATGGACTAACATGGATTCAGGTGAAAAGTACAGCAGAAGGAAGACAGAAGCAAGTGGAGACGTGCAGTTGAAGCCCTATATTCCACTATGAACGTAAGGGAACGATAATAATATTTTTAATGGTTCCGTATGTAGCATAGGCCTTCAATATTACACCTCCATTCTGCCCTGTTCTTTGAAGTCTCCTTCAGCTTACCACCAGTTGCCTTAAATGCTCTCATCTCCGCGTCACACGGTCTCTCCAATGACAAACTCGTCGTTTCTCATCCGGATTCCATTCAGACGATGGCCTGGTGCGATATATAACCCAACAGTAGCACAGTGTGTGTGTTATCCGTCTATATTCTCTCCAAAATATTGTTTGATAATAAGTGCTTGATTGATTCGTTACCAGAGTTTTTGTTACCACTTTTTCCTGACTTGTCATCCGTATGGAGCGGAGGCAGCTGTTGATGAAAGGCTGCAGTTGGTTGGAAATGCTTTCAGTGATGATCACGCCATTTTCTGACCTACACAGAAGTGAGTGACCTAACACTGGTTTTGGAAGTCCCAATTATATTCTTTATACTGGATACAGTGCAAAAGATTTCCAAAGTGATTTCAGAGTGATGACTGTCTGTCTTGTCTTTCCGATCCTGATTTTGACATCCTGATCCGTCCTGTCACCTGGATTTGAAACATTGGTGCCCAGGTGAGTGAAAGAGGCGATTTCCTTCACATTTCTCCGAGTGATGGTGACTGGTGCTGATTATTCCTGTTGGTTGTTTATCTTCATCATGCCCATCTTCCCTGTGTTCACCTGCTTCTTCTGTCAACTTGCTGATTTCCTCCTGTACGTCTTTAGTTTGTATTATATTAGACATAAATCGTCTGCGAAGTCTAGATGTTCTAGTGTCTTCTTACCGGTTTGATGTATTCCTGTCTTATCACTCCACATACCCGGTGTGTCGCATAATCCAGTTCGTCACAATTAGGACTACTACCGTGACAGTAAACAGCTTTTCTTACTCTAATCTTCACCTCAACAACTTCACCCAGTTTTAAGTTGTGGATCACTTAATATGCAGCACTATTTTATTCAGTTGCTGAATGAGCTTAAGTGATGAATAATTCTCTCAAAATACCAACTATGAAAAGTTTCAGGATTTCATCATGAGCTGACAATAGTTAGAGAACCATTGGAAAACCTGGGAGTAATGGACAGCTGTTTCGTCCTAGTTTGGGACTCTTCATCAGTACGCACCCACCGGGATTCGAACCCAGGACCTTCTGGTTACAAGGCGAGCTCGTAGACCATTGAGCCACTGGTCCTTGAATTCTAACTTCTGCCAATTCACGACATAGCGCGACCGCTAGCCATTGTCTTCGGAGAGTATTTGTCCTCACACCCGACCAGCTGCACCCTACTAGTCACGACTTCCCACTGGAACCCAGGTAACTACCTACCTGAATAGGGCCAGTCGCCAGTGAGCATCTCATTGGTATTCAAGTGTTGGTTTGTAGGGATTTGAAGTATAGTAAAGTTTAATAGACAGAAGACTAGTAGTTCAGCGGAGAGTCACTTTTCGGCGAATTCATTTTCATAGCTGTACAATCGCAAATATATATGCTTGTTTTTTATGTCTCTGTAAATTAAATTTGCCAAACGAAAGTAAAATTAGTAAATTCAGATGAATTCAATGTTGATATAAAAGGGTAATAACAAAAGGAATGAGTTGTCACAAACGATTGTCAAAGTAGAGTTAATTAATAGCATGAATAGTTTCATGAAAGAGTTTTGGTCAAGGTGTACATGGAAACAAAATAACTTACGGAATTAAAGAAGAGTTTTAAGTAGTTAGAAAAATAAGCATACAAACGAAAGTTCAGTCAAATCAACAGAGTTGTTACCATGATAGTAGAAGCGGTTAAATAATTTTATTTCGTATGCATATTTGTAGTTCTTGTAAATGAACGGCCAGGGCTTCTACAATGCTAAGAAGACGGAAACGTATTGTCTTTGGAAGGCTGTTCTTACCTTTGTAGATTACTTTGAAGAAGGCGTTTGTTGAGGTAGAATAGCCAGTGTTGACGAGATGTTTGATTATTGCACTCCTTATACGACCATCACTTTGTTTCTGTATCCACGCTGGATAGTGTTTTCTGACCGTTTTGACAGGATGTGCATCGAATGACAGATGTAACTGACTCCATAGGAACAAATTAGCTAATATATACACCTAGAAGGAATCATCTGAGAGATCTTGTCCTTCGGCATTTTGCAGATCAGAGGGCGACTGAAGAACACTACTCTCTGTGTCGCCGCGAAGAAATTTCTTCTTAAAAAATTTGAAATTCTCCTATTTAGAGTATCACTGAGTAGGTCGCCTTTGAAGTCGAGGTTCACATGAAGCATCTTTTTAGACATGAATGGCATCTGTTGCTTTCGAATTTCCTGTTTGATATTTCTGTCGATAAATCTTGCTGGATATCCGTTTTGTACGAAGATTCCTTTCAGGAAGTGTAGTTCTTCTTCTTTCAGGGAATCAGAGCTACAGATAAGTCGGACGCGAGTAGTAGTATTTAATTGTCATATGCGAGATCTCTGCAGACCAATGGACGCTTTGAGAACAATATTCTTAGCGTTCCTGAGAAGAAGAAGAAGAATGTTCTTCTCAACGATGCTAAAATTCTTCTCTTAACAATATCATAGGCTCAGTATCACTCGGATCCAGGTTTATGTAAAATGTCTTTGGTATACAACTGAAGAAAAGCAAAGGAATAAAATACGTTCATGTAACGCTCCACTAAATAATATCCTTTTCCATTTTCACGTTTACAATGTGCGTCGGTAGCACAGTGGTTAGGACTCTCGCCGACCATGCACATGGTTCGGGGTTCGAGCCCACGCCGGCGCACACCTGATATCTATTGTCGGCCTGCAAAATTTGGGCTACCGATATCCATGATGAAAATTCCATACATGTACCAAAAATACGGTGTGGAATCAAGCTGTAAATCAAAAAATAAATAAATAAATAAAAAGATATACGCATATTAAGGAAAAGAACAGTTTAGTTAAATTTATTGATATATATATATATATATACATATATATACATTGACGTAAGCAACGTGACACCGATGACAACCGACTGACTTGTTTCTCTTACGCAAGACTTAAATTTCTTGACTTCAATATTAAAATGTATTTTTTTTCTCTCTAAATGTCCAAGTTTTACTGGTTGTCTAACAGGCTGACATATATGCCGACAGACAGTAAAATAAACAGCTCAAAAATTATTAAACTTATGCATTAAGGTGACAAACAGAGTTATCCCAAGTAAGTCAAGATGTCAGACTTAATAAAAGTTATGTATACCAAAGAAAATAAACGCCTATACCAATAATAATAATAACGAGGCAAGTGAAAATAAATTGAGTGGTTTTGAGTAGGGAAGGTAAACTCACTTAACTGATGAATGTGTCTATAAGATAAAGGGTATCCAATAAAAATGGATTAGTCTCCATTCCAGTGATTCTTCCCCCTTCTTCTTCATGCCTTTTTTGAATGCCTGCAAAGTGACCTATTTGTAGAAATAAGAATATCTTTCGATAAATATGTTTCATCTGTATACCTCTGAGCGATTTTTGGTACATCTTGATAGCGTAGTGGATTAAGCAGGATTCTATATGTGTTTGTATGTTTCAGACCTTGTTTCGAAAAGTATCCCTTTTGAATCCTTAAGATGATTGGTAATCGACCTTAGAATAACAATAATAGATAGAATAAATTAAATTATGACAAAAAAGTATGAAGAGATACTTAAAGGCATCGTTTTGACGTGATGACCCAATTGTTAATGATATTAGATGGTTGGAGGCAATCCGTACTAAGCCCTGGACCTAGGTTTCGTGCTAGTTGGTACTCTTCAGAGGGGACATGAATCCCTTCGAAATTGCAGATACGCCTTGCTGACGAGTGCCAACAAGCACGAAGCCTGAGTCAAGCAAGTCTTCCTGCTGATTGACTCCAACCATCTCATATCACCAAATCAGTGTGCATCGTGATGGCGAGCTACCTAGAATGGTGGCCACATTGCAAACCTGCAAACTAGCTACTAGTGTCCATTCAAAGCATCTATCTATCTATCTATCTATTGTACATAAACAGTATTAATATTTCAGCAACATAAACTGATTCCTTCATAGTGTTGTTTATTTTTTTGTAGCATTTGGTTCGTTACAACAGCATCTTCAGAGACTTTACTCAGAGTTATATATAAAGTACAACCAAGTTGTTCTCCCACATCCTCTTCATAATTCAGCTAAAAACTCGAAAATATCTATGGAGAAATTTGAACTTTGCATTCAGAAAGGCTTTATCCAGTCTCTTTTATTACCATGGCCTTAGTGCTGTTTTATCTACGTTCTTCTTTTTCTTGAATAACTGACTGTGTAATAGGCTGTGTATAGTCCATTTCATGGTTTTTGCAAGTCATTTTTAGCCGTTTGTTCTCTTTCCTCTTTTCAGCTGCTTCCAGACGATTATTCATCATTCAACTAATTAGGTGTCAGTTCTCTTGATTACGTAGAAGTATTCTTAATTTTTTAAACATGGTTATTTCTCATGAACTTTGATTCCCCTATTACTAATTCAAGCCAACGTCTGACCTCTGTTGTCGATCTACATGTGTATGTTAACCCCGTAAAGAGCTTCACAGCTTTGAAGTAAAGTTACGAACAGAATAGGTCTCTTTACTGACTCATGTACGCTCAGTAATAAATATGGCTATAAATCTTATGGACAACGGTTGGAGAGATTTAATTCACAATTCTTAATCTTCGGAATATCACATTTCAGAAGTAAGCGCCGGTTAAAGAACAGTTAGTAGGCAAAAGCATTGGGTTCGGTGTTGAATTTTTTCTCGTTTGAGTGTCAACATAAAGGTACTGAATTTAAAGTAATATACGTATAAAGCAAAAGGAGTGAACTACGCTTTGATGAGTGGTAATAATAGAAAGTGTTGCTCAACAGCTTTGACACTATTATCATCGCCTTGGGTTCAAAATTGATCATTGAGATTCAACAGAACATCTTCAATTGATCCCTTTCTTTGAAGTCCTCTTCTTCTGGCTCCCAGATTGCTCGTATGTTATTATCCGCTCCTCTTAAGATCTCCGCCTTGTCACACTGAACTCACGCCAAAGTCATCTTTTCCCATGCGACGCCAAGGTGCGAGATGTCACTCGACGATTCACCTCCACTTCCCTTGACATAGTTGTTGAGTTATATGATCTTGATTGGTTGATTCCTAGAGTTTTTCAATGCTAATTCTTTCGAGACATTTGATCTCCAATTTGGAAAGAAGACAGTTGTTGATGAACGTTTACAGCCGTCCGCTGAAAATGCATTTCTTAACTCTTAGAGCAAGTTTCCCAGCAATTTACAAGAGTTGACTAACCTGACGTTGTTGTTGAGACGCTGAATTTTGTCCAGAAAAAATGTCTTAACTGATTTCAGAGTGATGCAGTTCCGACTTGCCTTTCCAATCCTCATTTTGACGACCGCATCCATCCTAAAGCCTGCAGCTGAAACGTGTTGCTGTCTAGATAAATGAAGTAAGTGAAGTCTTTTAGATTTCCATGTTGTTAGTGGTTGATGCTTAGTGTTTGTGGTAGTTGGTTACCTTCATCACCTCCGTCTTTCCTACTTCCACTAGAAGTCGGATCTCCGCCTCCTGGCTCTTCTAACAACTATTCTTCTTCTTCGAGTTTGTGGACATCAGAGATTTATCATCTAAGAAGTCCAGATCTTTATAGTCTTCTTATCAATCCAACATATTCCTATCTTGTCGCGTTTGCTATACGGCCTTCCATAGAATCCAGTTCACCTTAATCAGGAATATCATCTGTGATAGTAGGGAGCCTTCGTTTACTCCCTTCCTCACTTCTAAGGCTTTGCTGAGTCTTCTGTTGTGGAAACAGCTTTGGTATCGATCATTTATTGAAGTTGAAAGCTGTTACCAGTTATTCGAAGTGAAATTTTTTAAATTTTATACGAGTTATGAGCAGTTTTCAAATCTGGACGTATTTTGCTTACTTCCCGATAGCTTTTCAACATAAATGTAATTTGTTTTACACTTTCAAGTGAAATGTGTTGCAACCTTTATCAAGACTTGTAACTTTCATATGATTTATACTATTTTCAATTTTCATTCCATTCTTGTTATATTTCAAATATGAACTCAGTAAATATTTCAGTTGGAAATGTTCACTTTAATGAGGTCAAACACTGGAAAGGTAATAAATCGGCAGCTCATCAACTTTCAACTAACTCAAAACTATTATCAGACAGTACAAGAAAAAACTCTATTGAAAAAGTATACGAATTCTCATGGGAACCGCCTCAATTTCTTTGAGTAAATCATTCATTCAGATACCACAATCAGATTACAACTCTTTGACATCTGGTGAACTACAGGTAATTATATCAGTTTATTGTAATAAATTACGGTTTTTTTTATCCAAAAATTACTGATTTAACTAATGGTGGTAAATTTGAGGACAGTAACTAAAGGTTATTTAAGTAGTATTGAAAAAATATTTAAAGCAGAATATAGCGTTTATGATTATCTGTAACTCACAACTACTGTTATTGAAGAAAAAGCTACCGAAACACTCCACTGGCGCCTTGATTAAAACTTGAGCTATCGAAAGCTTCCATCTTTCCGTCGCATATATTTCCTCTCTTTCGGTTTGTTTTAACCGATTAAGATATATGACGTCGAATGGCATTATCCACTCTTGTGTGTATTTAAAATGTTTAGAAGCTTCTGATTCGCAAATTCCTGTTAGACAGGGGTAAAGCTGGATTGTGCTTGGCGACGTGTTCCAATACATGAGGAGACTGTTCTTCAGTTATATCCTTTGATCTGAAAATGTACTTCTGAGCATCTCCTAATTGGCTTTCAACCAGATGTTGTGGATTTCTTGAAGGAGACAAACCATTTATATCATAATGGAATGGTTTGTTCTTCCGCTTGCAGACCACTATGTCAAAGGATCTATTGTCAATTATTATTTTGCTTGAAGATATTGTACGATGGGAAAATATCATGCGAAAACTCCCCTGAAAATTCTATACATTTTATAAATACTGTCCAGAAAAAAAAGAAATTTTATTATTTTCAATTAGAAACTCAGTCAGCAGCGGCCTACTTAAATCATTGCGCTACCTAACTTTCCACAGAGCACTAAACGTCAAATTTACTCAGATATACTTTGCTTAAACCACTTATTGAAGTTCGTGAAGGATATCTGTACTCACGTGCATATTTCAATGGCATTGACCATACCGACTGCTCTGTTTTGAAGAGAAGAATACGTTGGGGGTCGGGGCATTTAGCAGATAAAACGAAATTACGTCGAATGATATACCGTAGAATATTGCTTTACTTGATGGTTCTGTATTTGGAATAGGCAATACCAACCTAAAAATTCATAATAAAGCTATTATTTAGATATAATGAGAATATTTGTAACTCAGGCGGATGATTTCGGTTTAGTTGTGTTCTCTGAGTTGGATGGTTGCAATAATGGACTTTAATTGCCTTGCTAAACAATATTCTCAGGGGATACTTCAATCTGAAGCAAGCTTTTCCTTTTTAGGATTGAAGGATTGACGAATACGCTGAGGATGTTATCTAGTAAGGCTACAAAAGCTATTATAATTCATCGTATATTCGCTGAGACAGTGATAGAAAGAATTAGATAAAAACTATAAATTCTTAGAATGATATGCACAAATTATGTTCTATAAGATGTATCACCATTATCCTATCAACAGTTATTATCGTTTTATCAAACTGTACAGAAGAGTTATGTCTGTTTTATGGAAATAAATATCGATCATTAGGGAAAATTATGGTTAGTTTTACGACTAAATAATATTTCAGTGAATTTCTACCTGTTGAACACAAAAAATTTCTACTTTATGCATAGAATACTGAGTAATATATTATGTACCATATTTTCGAGTGAAAGGTTTCCATCAACTCCCATATATTATCAAAAGTCACGAGAAAATACATACGAGAGAATACACAAAAGGACAATTCAGAGAAAGTAACACATTCAACACATAAAAACACGACTAAATGCAGTTATGTTTCATGAAGGTATATAGATTATTGGATACATTTCTGTTCCGAATGACTTAATAACACGACTTCAACTGGTTATGCACAGTTGTTGATAATCTTATAAGTATACTGATAAGTGAGTATTTTGTCATCGTACATCTTTCTAGTTCAGAAACCTCTTTCTCGGGAATCAAAATCTGTCAATATCAGTGTGTGTTAATCTTCTTTATATTGAGGAAAGCTTAGTTGTAAAAATGAAGTTCTGAAATCAGAGTTTCGAATAAATCCATTCACTATCGCCTCCTTTCATAGTCGTACTGTTTAAAGTTTTAAAAACCTTGATATTAGATTTTTGAAGGAAGCCATCCACCTAGGTTTTGTGCTTGTTCGCACTCACCAGTCAGCAAGACGTATACGCAAGCCATTCAGGCGCGTTATTGACATCCTGTAGGACTGTATTGGATAATTTTGATTGGACACTAGTTAGTATCCAGTGTAATGTGTCTAGTTGTTTATTTTCTTCAGTACTTCCAACGCAACAGGTTATAGTTTTTGCTTTAAATGTGAGATGCAGTTTTATTCGCATAGTAAGCACAGACAAGGCAGGTTGTTAAAAAAAACCTCTCATCTTTAGCTATCCGTTTAAAAACAAGCCTTCTAATGCATTCATAGTTAAATGGCAATAACCCTTTTTCTAGAATTTCGGTTATTTGTCAGTGATTACCTTAAATTCACAAATTTTCGCTTTTATTACTGCTCAGCACTCTTAAAATATGCAGATTAACAAGGTGAGATATATGAATTTCTACAGGCTAATGTTTCCCTTATTCTTCTTATCTTATTAAAAGCAGGAAGGTGTAGGCTTAATTTCTTAATAGATTATTATTATTATTATTACTTAGTTTATTCCTTTGAGTTCCCAGTGGAACATAGGACTTCAAGCTACAGATTAGACATTTCAGTAGCAGTGGATGTTTTTACAGGATGGAGTGGCTAACCTCATGCCTAGCCTTCCTTCTTTACCGGGCTTACTATCAGCCGAAGATTGAACCTCAGACCACTTAATTTGGTTGACCAGCGTCCTATGAATGAACCACTGAGCCCGAATAGCTCAGTGGTAACGTCTCTGACTGCAACAATAAGTGATAGGGGTTCGAATCCCACAAGGGACATGGTTTCCTTGAAGATATAATGGATTAATGAAACCGAAATCCTTTTGAGTAATAAGTATGCTTGGAACCTCATTAATTAGATGACAATGATACCACTATATACTAAACCGAAAAAATCTGTTCGTTACGCAATCACACGCCACCAAAGTGAGGTGTAATTCTTTACAAAATTAACATATAAAACCTTCCCCTACAAAATATTACTGAAGACAGTCGTTCTTTTTACCTAACTGTTTAATTTAAATTTCAGACAAATCAACAAGTTGGTGGTTTTACTGTAATAGAATATCAAGTCTACGTATGGATAAGTTCAACGGTGATGGAATTCGAGAACACTTACTATGAAAGTAAACCAGCGTTAACACATTTTCTATCAGAGACTTCCATTTTCTTAACTGATCTACCACAGCCTGGAGCTTTAGGAATTTGGGTATGTTGCTATAAAGTACACTTAGAAGTTTTGAATTTTTAAACTTGATGATGTCTCTTTTGACATATCCTCAGAGTTATACCAACTACTGTACTAATCATAATTTTATGTGAATCAGCAGGCAAATATTTTTTAACCACACAAAAGTTAGTCATCCTTCAGTAGGGAAGAGTTCGAAGGATGTAAACTAGTCATTTCCATTTACAAGATTTCTCGATAAAATGCTTCTTGGTTCAAGGTGACTAATATTACCATCGAGTAGTACTCTGATTGAGGTGAAAGTGAATTTATTACCTACTTCAGTTAGAGAAACAGTGAAACCAGGGAGTACTAGACAGTTGTTTAGTCCCAGTTTGCGACTCATCTTCACTACGCACCCATCGGGATTCAAAATCAGGAACTGCACACTACAAGTCAAGGTCATAGATCATTCTGTCAGCAAATGAATTATAACTTATGCCAATTCATGATTTTATTTAGAATCACCAGCCAGTGTTATCGGCGAGTAGTTTTCCTCAAACACAAACAGGCGAACCCCATGGGTCCCGACTTCTCACCAGTAGCAGGCGTCAGAGTTAATAGACCACTGAGTCGGATTCAAGGGGCTCAATGTTCTATGAGCTCGTCTTGTTAGCCGGAAGTCTTAAGTCTGAGCCCCAGTGGGCTCGTACTGCTGATCAGTCCCACACCAGGACAAAATAGCTGTCCAGCACTTCCACCTGGTTTTCACTGGTTCTCTAACTGGTATCAACCTATGATGAAACTTTAAATAAATCAAATCTCTAGAAACTGACTCTTCGGAGTACCTACCAGTTCAGATTACACGTGACGTAAATCACCTGGTCTTTGAAATCAGTTAAAATGTCTGATACCATACCAAGTGTTTGTTCACTACTACAACACAAAATGAAATTATCTATTAAATTGAGTTCTGGCATATGTCTTGAATAATAGCAATATAAACCAATAAAATACCATATTTTAGATGAAGAACTTCAGGTTAAATAAACAATATGTTGAAATATTCCCGTAATTTATTTAGAGGAAATATATATATTGACAGTGAACGTCTGCCTTCAGCAAATATCTCTTCAGGCTCCACAGTTATATGTCCATCAATGTCTGCATGCAATAGCCAGTAAAGGTAAATTTGAATTATGTCAGAAAGTATATTTCGATACAAGCACATAATGACGTAATAGTCAGTGCGTTTTGATTACCATCTAAATAAATGTATAATGTATGTAATGTAGTCAGCAAGAGCATGGAGTAAAATGAGATAAAAAAAAGTCTGAACCACGTGTTTGAGTATTCATAATCAATTAAAAATGCATCGGTTTCAAGGGGTGAGTTGTAGTCAGGGGTGTGAAAGACAATGGAAATACTAAAAGGAAAAAAAATTCAACAAATGGGTTACTCTGAACGTGAATTTATGGGGGAAAATTAACGAGGATACAGATAAAATAATGACAGTAATGTAATATATGCACAGACGTACAGTTAGCCAGAAATAATTAGGTAATGAAGCATTTTAGAAAGTGGAAAGGAAAGGATTATTTAAATACAGTAACAAGTTTGAAATGTATTACGTACGTCTGGGGTAACAGAGCTAATATGAAACATCATGAAGTCGTACAAGGCCTATACTAAATGTTTGCCAGTGTAATAAGAGAAGTAAGAAAAAGAATGGGAAAGGGGTTAATTTGTTTTATTCCCCTTACAGGATGAGATTGCTAACCTCATGCCTAACCTTCCCTGTTTACCAGTCTTGTTACTGGCTTAACCAGGTAAAGCAGTATCTTGGTGGCCTGGGATCGAACCTTAGACCACATGAGTGGTCGGTGAGCATTCTACCGCTGTGCCATCAACTCATGTGTTAATTAATACTACGAAAAATAGAAATAATTGTGAAACTAGTAATAATAACATAAATAAGAGAGAATATAAGTCATCTACAATTATAACATATAATGAGGGGACATCTGAAACCCTACGTAGAATTCTCAATAAAGCAGGAATTAGGGTGGCATTCAAACTTACAAACTCACTCAGGGACAAGCTATGTAGGTTGAAGGACCCAGTTGACCCAATTAGACAAAATAATATAATTTACAAAATGCCCTGCAATGACTGTGAGTTAAGTCAACTACATAGGTCAAGCTAGTAGGTCAGGGGTAGTCAGATTGTCGGAATATAAGAATTTAGCTAAGGTAAGAATGGTTGACCCCGAGAAAATAAGTAATTTAGAAAAAAACTCAGCGATTGCACTGCATGCATTAACACACAACCACACAATAGGGTGGGAGACGGTTGAAATTCTAAAAAGTAATCTAGGTAGGTGGAGAGAGACGTTGATTACTGAATCTTGTTCATCGAGTCTACACCCAACACATGCAATAGGAATGACTCGTCACTCATACCTGAAATATGGAAAATACTACTACCAATCAAATCAAGTGAAAATCAAGTGAAAAATAATGGAACTATATAAATGAAGTTAGGAAGTCATGTGAGTACCTTGGCATGAATATGAGCAATAAATTGTGCTCGAAACGTCATCAGTAAACATTACTGTACAACACTGTGAGACTTTATCAAAACAAAATTTACCCATAATGGAATTACACTCTACGACAATGCACAACTTTTATTCTTATATTAATTAATACTATTTGGATTGATAAAACGAACAGATACACTCCTTCTGGATACAGAGATTATGTCTTTTTGATTGGACACTAGTAACTACTGGGATGTGTTTAGTCTTTTCCGTTTTGGTGCACACAGAATTCAGTCAGTCAGGTTTGCAATACGGCCACCATTCTAGGTAGCTTGCCATTACGGTGCACAGTGATTTGATGATATTAGATGGTTGGAGGCAATCAGCCACAGAAAGCCTTGCTTGATCTTGGTTTCATGCTAGTTGGCACTCGTCAGCAAGGAGTTTCAGCAACCTTGAAGGAACGCATGTCTCTTCTGAGATTCGAACCTGCATCACCTAGTTCTACAGTCAGAGACTCTGTTACTGAGCTATTCGGGCTCGCAATTTACCTTCTGTAGTACTGTAGTGGGTATTTTGACTGGATACTAATGTGACGTGTCTAGTCCTTTCTTCGGTGCAAAGTGAATTTTATCACTCTATCAAGGTTGCAGATACACCTTGCTGACGAGTGCAACTAGCACGAAACCTAGGCCAAGCAAGGCTTCCTGTGGCCGATTGTCTCAAACTATCTAATATCATCAAGAGATTGGGTCTTTTAGTATTTACGACTACCTCTAGGGCTAGTGATAGGAAACGTAGTAAAGTTCCACTTCATAGGTTACTGGGAACGCAGAAGGTTCGTTATGATTCATTCCATACCCACTATCCACCAAGACTTTCTTTGTGTTCACTTGATGGCAGCCTGATCCAATAATCCAGAGTATCCCAATTTTTCGGTTTACTTCGTTAGAGTGTTGACATTGCCTCACAAAACATGTTTGACTTAATTGATTCTCAAATGACAGTGCAATAAACTCTATAGTACACTCCTGTTAGATATATTAGTGACCGAATTGCAAAAAATTGACCAAAGATTTAGACATGCATTTCAAATTAGGTAGATACATGAATTGTCATTTGGTGACTAAATGTCATAAAGTTTAGCTTGAAATGAAAACTTCTATGTTTAGTAATTGAGTTCTCTCTCTTTCAGGTAAGACCACGTTTAAGTACTGGATGGGGAATATTTAAAAAGTCGGTGTATTACTATTCAAATATGAATGCAGAAGAAGATGGTGAAAAAAGTAAGTGGAACAAAGTAGATTTACTATACAACCATCCATAACATCTTGGATAATAAAAATAATGCTGCATCAATTGTGTCTTTTGATAAACTACCTAACGGTCCACTCATTTCATATTGTTTTGTTTAAAATGAATGCACTTTTGATACTGGAATATCACTGTAGTACAAGTATGAGAAAATCAAGAAGAATAGTCAGTTAATTAGTACTCGGAAGGAGTAAAGTGACTCGATTGAAGGTCATTCGTTCTTCAAGAGATATTTATGTTATTTCAAAACAGTTTGTTTGAATCATGAATAGCGTCTGTGAATTTTTCAAAATTCGAAACTGCTATACAATGGAAATCTCCACGCTATGTCAAGGAGGAATAGTTCAGCTAGATGACAGTGCTACGCGTCAGGTGATCCACATTGGAGAACTTAGGGAAGCCGCTGAAGTGAAGATGGGTATTAGATAAGTCTGCTTCAAAAGATAGACGATATTTTTAAATTTGGTGGACTGGACTGTGCGGAAGATCCTGCTTGGAGAGGGAGTAGACAAGAATTCATTGGACCCAAAAGAATATTCTAAAGATCCGGACTTCGTGGAGATTTTATTTCTAATTTCACACAAACTTGAAGATTTACAGGAGAAAACCAACAAGATGGTAGAAGAGGCAGGCACAGACGACAGGACTTCGAGTTAGCATAGAGAAGATGTAGGTGATGACGATATGCGAGCACCACCGACAATATGCACACATTGCTGTCAACGGACGGAATTCGAATGAGGTCACACCAACACTTATCGTTTCAGCCACAGACAGATAGCACGCATGAAGTTATCGAAACCAGCCAGGATAAGAAAGTCAAAGCAAACCTTCACCATTCTGAAATCAGTTTGGAAATCTTCTGCTCTGAACTCAGCATAAGCTACAAAATTTGGATTTTTAACAGAAATGTTAAGTGAGTCAGTTCTACTGCATTAGTCAGGAATTAGGCCTGAGCGTCACCGAAAGTATTTCTCCAATTTTTATTGATAGCTGCCTTCACTAGCTCTATACTGAAGGTCAGATCTAAGGCCAGAAGGAATTATCGTCAATAAACTCTGGAAATGAATAAAGCAAAAACCCATTGATGATGAAGAAAATATTCCGAAGACAATGGAGATGGGTTGGAGAGTGTCGTGTATGTCATTACACGGCTTGAGGGAAACCACAAGTGGGGCATTTGGCCAAGTGTGAAAGGAAGGTGACAGCTTGGGGATAACCGTGGGGACATCTGATAGAGACTGTAGGGAACAGGACGAAATAGGGATGTCCTAATGAAGACTGATGCTCTAGTTAGAACCCAAAGGAATAATAATATATGGGATATCTTTTTATCAAACTTGCATTTCGAACTCAAGTGCGCTTCCCAATATATAATCACATACTTCTACAAACACTGAAGTTTATTTAAAAAGAGGAAATCCATATTTCGCTAGAATATTTTGTTTCATAAAACTCAAAGTTAAACACACTACAGAACTATTAGTGATTTTTCTCCACTTGTTTTCATATTTATCATGCTTAACACTTTTGACACTATCTACCTATCTATCTAACTATCTATCCATCTATCTGTCTATCCATCCAACCATAACTATATCATTTTTAAAGATAATGAAGTTACTAAACTGTCGAATGTAAACAAACCTCTTCATAAATTATCTCTTCTACGTATAAAAGTAATAGCAATATTAGATGATAGCGTTCTGATTAGAAAATAAGCGTATGTGAGTAGTGGTATTAGTAGTAGTTGGTGATGGTGGGTAGGAGTAACTGATTGTCAAAACATTATGTAAAAAACAGTTTAAATGCCTGAAAAATTTTCTTCCAATAACTAAATTAGGTTTGGTTGAAAGCACAGCTTCCCTTTACGAGTAAATACCATCTCGTTGAAACAAAATGGTTGACATATAACTTGCTTATTTTGCATATCGTTTATTTAACTTTGGGTGGAAGGTTATAATTTGAAGGTTCTGAGAAATATTAAGTTTCATACTCGTGTATGGTTGTTATTATTATTAGGCAGTATTAACTCCAGGTATTACTGCTTTGTGACAAAGTGGTTTTATAGGCAGCTGTGTTTCAGGGCTGGATATTCCGAGATTTGATTGATTTTGAAGTAGTTTGAAAATCCCCATTGAGTCATATGAAAATGAGAAGACGTTCAGCGAACAGACTCTTTTCGACGGCGAATTCATTCACATAGCTCTAAAATCGCATTTATATATAATTATTTGTGTGTGTACATGAGGTTTGTCAGGTCTAGATAATTGATCAGGTAAATTTAGATGTCATCTTGAAGTCGTTTGAAATGTGCCAACGCCGCGATTCAGTTCACGCTGAAGAAAGAGTCCAACTCCAAAATATCCCTTCTTGATGCCCAGCTAAGAAGATGAGAACAGGATCGAACACTGAAAAGATCTACCTACAGAAAAACGACGTCGAACGGATAGCTTACTAACCTTCACAGTTGGGTACCCCTATACATCAAACGAAACCTGATCCGTTCACTCAGCTACAGAGTTCGCAGAATTTTTACCCCGGACACCGTAGAAGATGAACTGGACAATCTCAAGAGAATCCTCGTCGAGAATTGTTATTCAGAAAGATTTATTGCAAAATCTATGAATCCTAGACCACAAAAGCTGCGTATGGTTAGCGTCCTGAAAAACTACTCTACATGAACCTTCAATTCAATGGATATATATCTAGTAAAACACTAAAAAATTGACTGTCACGTTCACTCAAGAAGACCTTCTTCGCAGCTGAACTACGACTAACTTTCTCCAGAAAACCTATGATTCATTTGAAAGTGAAGGATAAGCTACCACTGTTGGCCTCATCAATGTGCATTTATCACTTCACCTACTCGTGTGGAGCCAGGTAATCTGCCGTACCCAGCGTTCGCTTTCCAAACGTATCACCGAACACTTACCAACATGGTTTTACAAAAGAGAAAAACGATGTCCCCACACCTCCATCTTTGAACATCCGATAGAATCCGGACACCAAACTGCACCCCAAGCAAACTTCAAAGTCGTCTACAGAGTAAGAAGTAGTCTTCCTAAAGGTGTACGAATCAGACTTCTTCAAACTGCAAAAGCGATGGCGACTCACTTGCTAAGCCCTGAAATCTGCATACAGAAGACGTTCGTTCAATCACTACACTCGAAATGGACTTAATCTATCTTATTACCCGACAAGTAAATTCTATCCAATCCGTTTTTCTTCTCTCTCATCATAAGTATTATTTTGTCTTATTGTAATATTTTACATTTTCAACTTTCTTGTTTTCTACCCCCATCCGATTTAATTTCCACACCTCTCTACCACTGTTACTTACTTGACTAACGCTCAATTTCTAGTCATTTATGTTACGTCATCCAACTTAATTGCTCAATTTCAGTTCTAATTTAAATGGCATTATTCTCTACCCCAATTCTACTTAGTCTCTACATGTAATTAGCCCTGTTGCTACCCTGACCTGAGTTGAAACATTTTAGTCAATTGTATTACGTCATCTAACTTACTAACTGAATCTTATTTTAGTTGCTGTCCAACTAACCTTGTTTCTATATTCTATCATTCTTTTATTACCTGATCAATTATTATCTAAATTTGACAAACCTCATGTACACAAACACATGCAAATAATTATATATAAATGCGATTGTACAGCTATGTGAATGAATTCGTCGTCGAAAAGAGTCTGTTCGCTTAACGTCTTCTATTTTTCATATGATGTCGGAGTGTTTCACCACGAACTAACATCAGTTAGAAAACCTACTGAAATCCAGGGAGTATTGCATCGTCTGTTTCGTCTTAGTTTTGAAACTATTCAGCAGTGCTCACACTGATGGGACTGTAGTTCGGTTTGTGATGAAACCTATCAAGAAATGTTTTCTTATGGCTATTATTCCCAACTTAAAATGAACATTATGAGGTTTTCACAATTCGACGATGCAAAATGATATCGGTTTGTGGGTTAAAAAACTGCAGTCAATTCACAAATACAAAACGAAATGAGATCTTTGTATGGTCATACTGTTGGGTGCATAGTTCATCGTCCGTGCTAGTTTTATCTTTACTGAAAAAACTACGATAAGTCTGTGAACATACCAAAGTTCACTAGCATAATGTAGGAGGCGAATGTACGTTGTAATACATGTCTTGTATTATATTTTAATTTTTTTCTGCACCAGATTTTCAGTCAATAAAGATCCCCCGTATTAGTCTACAAAACTTTCAAGCTTATTACAATTGAAGGAAGATAAATATTCTGTTTGAAGTGAATTAGTATTTTGGGCTTTCCATTGAATGGGATACATAGGATCTTCTTCTTATTATCATTGTTAATGTAATCCATGACCAGTAGGGTGCAGCAGGTCGGGTGTGAGAACAAATACTCGCCGAAGACATTGACTAGCGGTTGCGTTACATCGTGAATTGGCAGAAGTTAGAATTCATGGACTGGCTATTGAATCGGGTGCCAGTGGCTTAATCGTCTACGAGCTCACTAGCCTTGTAACCAGAAGATCCTGGGTTCGAACCCCAGTGGATGGGTACTGATGAAGAGCCCCAAACAAGGACGAAAGAGCTGTTCAGTACTCCCAGGTGGTTTTCCAATGGTTCTCTAACCAATGTCAGCTCATGATGAAGTCCTGTGATGATGTTCACTCACGGTCCTTGACATTCTACGATTAAGAGTATTCTTTTCATTAACACTTTGCTAATTCATTACGTATTCAACCTGAGTCAAAGCGTCACCGAGTCGGCTAAAGTATAGTATTTCTACAACATGGGCATTATGATTTGGTGAATATAGTATAAGATAAGTTGTAAAGCCTTTCATCGCATTAATAACTAGTCCATTCGCTGGGGCACAGAAATGTTCATACATAACAAAGTGTTCAGTGACTGATATGGTCTCAAGTAGGATTGTGGATTAATGTAAATCACTGAACCATTGAAAAATCAGGAAGTGTTGAGCGTCTACTTCGTCTCAGTCTGGGAATCTTCATCAGTACGCAGCATTCGGGGGTCGAACGCAGGAACTCCCGGTTACTACCTAAGCTTGTCCAAAACTAGTGCGAAACACCTGTCTGTGGTTTTCGATAGGTTACTAACTAATATCAAAGGCTGATTAAACTTGAAATAAATCAGATCCCACACAAAATGACTCTTCAAGAATAATCTGATGCTTGCTAGTGACTCACTGGCTTTGGGACAAAGTTTCATAGAGTTTTAGTGAGAATCGCTGACCAGTGTGGTCCACCACCAGATTGGGAGTGAGAATAAATACTCGCCAATGACACTGGTTTGTGGTCGTGCCGAAACGACGAATTCGTAGAAGTTGTAAATCATTGTCCATTGGATCACATCTCAGTGGTTCAATGGTCTAAGCGCTCCCACCTTAACCGGGAGGTCCTGAGAATGAAGGTGGGTGTGTTTTTGCCTTCCAAGAGTCCATCATTCAAATCCCTGCATACTACCTCTCGGACACTGATATAGTTTTTCAGTTAGCTTGTTAGCTTGAATGATATTTGTGAATATTTTGATTGAAAATAACAAATTTTAATCAGAAAAGAATGATTAATACAACTCTATCGAGTTTGCTGTAAGGTGATCATTTATTTCTGTTACTTATACAGAAAGTGGCAATAAGGAATGTACACTGGCAATCCGCAAACTTATGTGTTTTATATTCTGTGATTTATCATTTATCCCCTAATGGGTTGGCGGTTTTAATTTCCAATTTTAAAATAATTTTAGTTTATATAGAGTGTCAAATTTAGGATATTTGATTCAGCTGAATTTTATCCCACAATGAGAACAAGCAATCAATTTTTTCTTACAGTCGTATTTTGGTGGCTTAAAGCAATTTATTGAATTCCTGTCACAAAGATACAGACAGAATTATTGACTTAAGATGAACACGGTGAGGTTTCCACAAGTTGACGATGCAGAATGACATCGGTTTGTAGGTTAAAACTACAGTCAGTTCACAAATACAAAACGAAATAAGTTCTTTGAATAGCCATACTGTTGGGTGGATAGTTCATCGTCCGTGCTAGTTTTATCTTTACTACGAAATGGCTATGAACATACCAAAGTTAACTACAAAGAATGGCAGATGGTAGCATAAAAACGACGACATATAGAAAAACCACACACTCTGGAAGATTCCTTGATTATCACTCAGCTCATCCACTCACAGTAAAACGAGGATTAATGCAAGGTCTTGCAGATAGAATACGTAGACTTAAAACACCACCATAAGACCAGTGTAAAGAAATAAAAATCCTATTCAAAATGCTACTCGACAACAACTACCCTAAAGAATTTATAAAAGATAATATAAAAAAGAGAAAGAAGAGGGTAAAACCTGAGAATAACAAGATTTAAGAATGGAAAAAGACAGTCACAATACCTTATAAAAATGGTACATCAGAGGTAATTCAAAGAAACCTCAAAAATATTGGCAATCGAACAACCTTTAAACTGACGAATCTAGTCAAAAATAAAATAAATCCACTAAAAGATCCCATAAAAATGATGGATAAAAACAATTTGATTTACAAAGTATCTTGGGCTGACTATGTGACAGATATGTGGGACAAACGTCTAGATCACTCAAAATAAGAGTGAATGAACATAAACGCCTAACCGAAGGTCAACCAACAGGAACACAAGCCTACAAGAATCTTGAAAAAATTCATCGATAGCTGCACATGAATGGGACAAAAACCACAATATCCATTGCAACAATGTGTGTATTCTAAAAACTAACATTAACAAATGGAAAGAGAGACTTATAACAATTGATATTCATTAAGGTCACACCGGATACATGTAACAAGGGTGACTGAGTACAACTATCAATATAATTCTAAATACAAAAACATGAATGAACAAAAAAAATAATGAACTATATATATGGATACAAATCATAAATGTGTGAATAATACAATTCCAACAGTGGTGTGAACATGGGCAGTAATTTTGTCCGAAATATTACCAATAACAAAACTTATCATTGTGTGTAAACTATTGAAATATGATTATACTTTATTTGATCTAATCCACAATGCTCAAACTTTTCACTGATATTAAGAATTATTGACCGTTGAAGTGATTATTGAGGCCTTTGCATCACGCAGCTTAACATGGATAAGTATGATTTAAAGTTTAACTAATAAATTCAGCGTGTTGCTAATATCTATCACTATCCGAAGTGACCATTTGCAAGTCGAATGAATGGCTAGTCATGAAACCCTTCTGGCTTGTTGGCTTTGCTTATAACTGACTGGTTAATGGACAGCGAAGCACAATATTAGAGCATGGTACACACCGCAATAAATGCGAAATAAAGTCAATTTTTGAGTAATAATAATAATAATAATTTGCTTTCTTCCAGAAATAATACTAGTGGTACAGTGTGGAATTTTCAGCACAGATCTACAATATTGCCTCTAATTTTATCAAACATTTAAAAAGAGTATTTCAAAAAATAAATATAAAAACAACAATAAAAGAAAAAAATAGCAAAAAATGTGAAAAAATACCAAGAAGTAGAAAAAGTAAACAACATAACAAATAATATCTCAGTATTGTGTAGTGGAAGCTATGATATGTGTATGCGTGGTGAACAGTAACAGCTATAATCATACAAGAATTTATGAAATGTTCTTAAGAATGTTTATAGCCAAGATGATCAGTTAATTTGATTGAACTACACTAAACAATCATAAAATAAACATTTCAGGGTTTTTATTTTTATTGTCAGCACTAATGCAGTGCTTGTTGTGGTAGTGTGAGTATTCCTGCATAATATAAAGTTTTTAAGATGGAAATACTGGCATTCACAACCAAGATTGTCAGTTATATAGTGCCGAACAAAGAACAACCACAAAACTAATATTACATGATGGTTAATGACAGGACAATTTTTTAATAATCATAGTGATAATATAGTCGGAACCATTAGATACACAAAAGAGGGAATAGAGTAAAGTACAGAAAAGTAAGCCAATGTTAATAATTTAGGTAGCTAAGTATGTTTAAGAAGGTGTTCACTATAACCACTATGCGTCGGTGGCACAGTGGTTAGGACTCTCGCCGACCATGCACATGGTCCGGGGTTCGAGCCCACGCCGACGCACACCTGATATCTATAGTCGGCCTGCGAAATTCGGGCTACCGATATCCATGCTGAAAATTCCATACTTGTACCAAAAATACAGTGTGGAATCAAGCTGTAAATCAAAAAAAAAAATAAATAAAAAAGAGCCTAAAATTATGTTATTAACAACAAAGCAAGTCATAAGTTTCGCGCTTAACATTGTCTCTGTCACTTAGAAAACATAAATCGTCGTGCTTTTCATGCCTGTGTCACCAACTCTTGTCAAAATTTATGCATATACGTTTAGCCAATCGTCGCCTTCCTCGACTAGCAACTTTTAGCTGGCATAGAATCAGGTTGGAAAAGAGCTGGTGGTGGTGATGAAACCAAAACATGCAATCAGTCCATAAAATCTTCGACATTTAGTTTTAGCCACTTAGGAAGGTGTAGACTGCCCTATTGGTTGGGATCCTCTGGTTTCTAAGACCCCATAGCTGGAGACAACTGGTGATACGCCTCAAAATTGTTTCCATTGGGGCAGATGTATTTACTCTTCTTTGTGATCTCTCATAATGAGTAAAAGCAATGAGAATACATTTCTTTTTCCTTTTAAAACACTTTACAGGAATGACTACCTACAGTCCACTGCTTATGGATACCGCATCAAAAGACCTGCTGACTACATCAAATCATTCTCAGACAATAAAGCTAGTGCATACATCAAATCGTTTTCGGATTCTAATGGGTATACTTGGTTTGGGTGCTATTCTGTTATGCTGTCTAGTAGCCATTCTTATATTTCTTCGATTCTGTTCAAAACAAAACAGATTCAGAGATAGAAACACGTGAGTGTTAATTAATTTAACATTTTGTTTTTGCATCAGTTTTAGTATCAGTTTTGGTAAATGACATGAATGTGTCGTATAACGATTAGGTTTTACTTGACCTGCTTGTACACTGGATCCTCAGTTTTACTCATAACGATCATATAACTTAAAATAAAACCATACGGAATTGTTTCAAGTTTGATGACAAGCTGACATCACTTAAGGAACCATTTAAAAACCAGGAAGTATTGAAAAACCGTTTTGTCCTAGCTTGGGAGTCTTTATAGGTTGCATCTACTTGGCTCCGAGTCCAGGACCTTCGGGTTACAAGTCAAGTTGGTAGATCATGAAGCCACTGGGATTCGTTCCAATGGACCGTGAACTCTAACTTCTACAAATTTATCATCAAATTCGTAGACAGTTCAGACACTTATTCCCTAATGTTTGAATAATCTGCGAGAATGACTTACAACCCGAAAGTTCTTGGTTTGAACTCTGGTGGGTGTGTGTACTGATGAAGAATCCCTAACCAGGACGAAACAGATGTCTAATACTCCCTTGGGGGGGTGTTTCAATGGTTCTCTAAGTGTTGTCAGATTGTCTTCAAATTTGCAACAAATCGAATCCTTACACAAACTAAATCCTGAAAGGACAAACATGAGTAGACACTTGACTTACTTATTATTCATTGCTGTTTCACTCATAAACAGGCACATTATTCTTCTGATTTACTGTCTGTCTGACAATGTTGCACAGTGCTATGTATCGCTGATTGGTTGTTTTGAGTAATTGGATGTCATGTACATCAAACAGTCGTGTTTGCCAGACGCATCGAAGTGATCTGAACATTGAATGACTGTTCCGTTTGGCTGGGGTCCAAATCATCAGTGGTGTAGCCTGTTTGAATAAAGCTCAAAGGGCTGAACCAATTAATAGTATCAGTCATTTAGTAGTATATAGCGTTTTTCACTTATATTTGTGTCCTTGATCACCCTCCACAGTATTGAACAGATCACATATTGTGATCTGAATAATTTCGGTCTCCAAAGGAATCTGTGTAGTTTGTCCATCCCGAATTTGATTCAATGCTACAGTATTCATGATTTTAACAAGGTTGCATTTAATATTTCATCGATTTTTTTAAACTTTCACTTATAAACTGTTTGACCTTGTAAAAATTACGGATTGGAATAATTTTTATAGTGGAACACACCTAAAGATACTGAAAAACTGTGAGATTTCTTAGCAAATGCATATTACTGGAGGACTAGCTGAAAACCTAAGGTTTCTGAATATCCCATCCCCACTCATTAGTTCAATTAGGAGATAATTTCATCGATAATTTAATTATTAGCCAGCGCTCTATTATTTGCAGCCTCGTTTTTTACAGGACTGTTGTCAAGGAACTTAACCCTAAGTTCCTATTTTCACGAAGACGCTCCGAACCGATAATTACCATGTACTTTTCTCGACTTTAACTCCAAAACACCAGTACTTGTTAGATTATTATATTGTTTGGTAATTAAAGTAAAAATAATTAAAAGTCCATAAACAGATGTTTTATACAAAATATAATGTACTTTTATTTGTATTCTTTTGTCTTCCTCGAACGATTGAACCATTCACGCCTTCGAGTTGCCCACTAATGTCTACCAGTTCCAATAAACAAACGTTCAATGTTCACGTCTACTGACAACTGTCGTCACCCATTGACTCTATAACTGCACATACTAATTCTTCCACTGATTATATGTTATTGGAATGTAATGAAACCGATAGCGATGTTCAACACTTATTAATGGTGAATTGATAACGAAGTAAAAGAAGTCAATGGAGATGAAAATTTCCTTTCCAGCGACTCATTTTTATAAGCTCTAGAATCGTAATTATCTCTCAACAAAGAAATCTTAAGACCAGTCAGATACAGGGAAAATGTTTCCTCGAAAAACGTATTACACAGTGTAAGGTGTAACCTAGATTAGGTGACCAACTGGAAGTTAGAAAAGAGGTAGAACTTGGCATGATGCGATGCATGTGAAAAAGTGACTAGTCAATGTAATTGTGTATAAGTGGATAGGACGTAGTACAAAGACAATAAAGTGTTTTTATAAAATCTGTATTGATAATATTGATACTAAATTGCTGTTAGACAATCTGATTACAAAAGTTCACTCTAATGGTAATACACTGCGGTTAGTTTATGGAGTTGTGCACTGTCAAGGAACCAATAATAATCCATTGTTAAGTGTCTCCTAGTTTCTAATATTTTCCCAAGCGACACTGATGTCTCGTGTAACAAAATCTGTAACTGGTGAAACTCTGAAAAACTGTAAGTTTGAATATTCAAAAAGAACTTGCAAGTGATCAGCACTGTGTTATTTCCCATCATTTCCATTGAGACTGATACTTGCTTTTTGTCAGTAGTGATACGTTTGTTATTTTTGACTACTAGAAAGAATTACAATAACCTTAGTTTTTATATCGAAGTTATTCCGAATGTTTGTTAAAAAAATTTAACTTTATTTGTAGGCAAATGGAAACAGTTCTTGTTCCAAATTCGTTGAACGGTGTGACAAATGAGAATATTGACAAGCCAACAGAACGCGATTTACAACTAGAAGGTATGTAATTTATGTTATCAAATAGTTCATTGGATGATCCTCAGTCACCTATTTGTTACAGTTTGGGTTTTTTTTCATGTAACTCCTGGTCTCAATTTCTTTACACGTCCTCAATGGAATTTCTCAATTTCAAGCCTATTTTGAAACTAGTTAGTTCATTTAATACAAGTTCCGAGAAGAAGTTTATTTACTTCATTATTTCCATTATGACAATATGAAATAGTCTTAATCATGGTAGAACTGCACTAAGGTAACAACCTCCAACAACAGGAGCTTCTAGTAAGCATACACAACACCTACAGTTCCATCTATATCCGTACTGACCATTCACACGATAATACAGCAAACGAGGACTACAAGGCTGATTACTATCCCGATTCCTCTTTGTGGTGTACTGGGGAGCCAGAAGAGAGACGGATATGATGGAAGAATAAGTAGGCCTTATAAGATCTACACTTCTCCGAAAAGATGGCAGAAGAGGAGGGCAGTGAAGATGGGACTTCAAGTGAACATAGATAAGATAGAGGTGATGAAGACGCCTAACTAGCAACAGCAGGCACCAAGCAGTATCAAAAGAAGAAATCCAAGCGAAGTCACTTATTCCACTCACCTTGAAAGCGTCGCTTCAACTACAGTCAGCATTGATGAGAATGTCAGAGCTGGGATCGAAGAGACACATCTTATATTCGATACTCACAAATCAGTAGAAATAATCTACTCCAACCCACATAAGGGACAAGATTACGATTTTCAACACTGATGTCAAATCAGTGCCTCTGTATCTATATAAGACTTGGTGCTTCACTACGAATATTTCCAGCAGGCAGTTGCAGACTTTCACCTACGGCTGCCTTCTCTGGCTCCATGCCAAATATCTAATGGAGGGCCGGAAAGCACCATTAGCAAGGAACTCTGATAGTAACCAACTAATAGCGTATTACCTAAAAAGTATGCCGAAGAAATGGAAATGGGTCGGTTACACACTGAGAAGACCTTTCAGTGACATCACGTGTCAAACTGTCGACTGTAACCCGAATAGGAAACAGCGAGTTGGATGTGTTTCCGAGACTGACATAAAGCAAATTGTGTGAGTAGGAGGTGAGTACCTGATAAAGAGGCCTGAAAAGAACAGGACGACACGAACATGTGCTGCCAATGCCCTAAATTTCACCCAGAATGCACGGGAATAACAATAATTCAGCAACTAATGTGATCAAACCTCTAAATGGGATTGGAATAATCTGTTTTCAAAGCCAGCAAAACAGGAGGCAGATTGAAACTTACCACTCAAGCATTCAGAAGAATTCAATTTTCTTGGATATGTACACTTATAAAGTACACTTTGAACTGTGGAATAGAAAGGGATCAGCAGTCATTGCGTTAATCATATATAATCGCGCTAATTGTTGAGATGCGGAGATAAAAGAGAGATTCTTTGTGCAAAATCAGGTGTAATTATTTCTCTTAGCCTAGTCTTTAATTTGCCTAGGCGATCTATGAACGCTGAGCAAGAGTGAAAAAGAATAAAATGCATACGGGGAAATTACAATTTTACAATTATACTGCAAATCTGGTCTTTCTTTCTCTATCAAAATTACAATTCCGTTACCAAATGGGAAAACAATGTCAACTTTCAACATGTAAACTAATGAATAGAAGAAGAACCATTGTAAACACTTTACAATCAAAAAATAAAAATGCTAATACAGCACATTTAGATAAAGATTCGATTCACAATCTACTTGAAATAAAGAATGATTATCACTCAGTGCATTAAAAAGTGAATGAGGTTGGTTAATAGGGAAACTAAACAACAAGCAGAATAAATATTCACATTATAAGAAAGAATAAGTATCACCTGACTCAGTGGAATTTAAGGTTAACAGGTTACCTAATAAAAAAGTGCATATAGATAGGAAGGATAACACCTAAATTTCCTTGCATCTTATGAATATACCTAAAATACTTTCAGATAATATTATATGGTTGAAAGCAATCGGCAGGACAGGGTTGCCCAATCTCTTCATTTCTCTTTAACTTTGTCATCGATGATATTCTGGAGTCAGCTCTGAAGGATGTGTGTGAAGGTGGTGTAGATCTACTACCTGGTGACGGACTTTTCGACCTCGAGTATGCAGACGATATTGCCTTACTGTGCGACAGCATGCAGGCTGACTAAATTGCACTTAATCAGTTGGCGATCAGTGTCTGTAAGTATGGCATGTTCTTTGCGCCGTCTAAGTGCAAAGTACTGTTACAAGATTGGCAAGAGACTGTACCTGCACTCACTCATGTGGGTGAACCTTTTGAAGCTGTTGATACGTTTGTGTATCTGGGTAGTTGTGTGAGTGCTGGCGGAGGGTTGACGGATGAGATTTCCAACCGTGTAGTGAAAGGTAGAGTGACATACATCAAATTGAGCCACCTATAGCGCCGTTGTGATGTTAGCCTGGCTGTCGGAGGTCGGGTATACAAAGCTTCAGTGCAGACTGTCTTGCTCCACGCCTGTGGAACCTGGTCTCTTCGATCTAAGGATGTGCGACGACTCTTCGTGTTCGATCATTGCTGTCTCCGCAGGATTGCTTGCGTTTGATGGCATCATCACGTGAGTAATTCTGAAGTTCGGTGGCGTGTGTTTGAACACAGTGAAGATCACCATTCATTGAGTGTCGTCATCTGGAAACACTGGCTCCGGTTGCTTGGACATGTGCTGCGAATGTCATCCCAGAGGCTTCCGTACAGATCGCTAGCCCTGGGACGGGATGGAAAAGGCGGAGAGGTGGTCAGTCCATGACGTGGCATCGTGGGATGAAGGATTTCTGTGCTAGGTTAGCATCGCTTGGTGAGTCACGGCTGCCTGATCGGGGTCCGCGAGACAGCTCGAAACGTTGTCGGATATGGCCAAGAATCGTAATCATTTGCAAACGTGTTGCAATTTCCTTCTTTTTTCCCTTCCTGATGATAATTAACGAATACTGTTTAAACTCGTTAAGTATGACTGTTTTCCTTCCAGATGAAGTTCTCTATCCATTCTCTACTTATATTTTTACTTTTAATCTGTGTTGTTTTATTATTATTGTGTGGCGCATCTTTCTTGGTGCTATATTTTACCAGATTTTTTCTGCGTTTAAATAAATATAAATAAATAAATAATCGGCAGGAGATCTTGCTTGACCTAGGTTTCGTGCTGCAACCTTGAATCAAATCATGTCTTTTCTGAGATTCGAACCCACATCACCCAGTACTGCAGTTAGAGATGTTACCACTGAACTATTCGAGCACGCGACTGACCTCCTGTAGGAGTGTATTGGATAATTTGACTGGACACAAGTAACTAGTGCGACGTGTCTAGTCCTTACTTTGGCGCAGACTGAATTCTATCAGTCACGTTTGCAATGTGGCCACCATTCTAGGTAGCTCATAATCACGGTGCACTCTGATTTAATGATATTAGATGGTCAGAAGCTAGCTACCCAGAGTAGTGGCCACACTGCACATCTGACTAACAGAATTCAGTCTGCACTAAGGAAAGGACTAGACACATCGCACTAGTTACTAGTATCCAATCAAAGTATATTTTCAGATAAATTTGGTGTTGAATATGTCATTTGTTCGGTTGTATGAATATTCATGGTTATGTATGGAAAACATTTTCATGTCTCCGAATTGACTTGTAAGATTGGTAATCCCCTAGTAAAACTAAGTGAAACTTTTACACTTTCTAGAAAATTTTCTCCACATCATTGGAAATCAATAAAGTCAAGTGTCATAAACGTAATTTAAAAGATTGCATTTCGTTGATTTTGAACACCCTTCAATGAAATTAATGAAACATATTTGATATCATGTGTTGTAGGCTGGATCGTTTCAGTCTGAAGTTTACCTAAGCAACTTAGAGAGCGAAAGCGGCGAAAATATCTACAAGACATTGATGATTAGGATACATTTCTGAAGATCATTTTTCATGACATGGAGTGGGATTGGTTTCCTGACATAACATGTTTTCATAGTCTCAGATGTTTAATGTAGTCCAGTTGTTTCCTTTGTTTCAGATCAGTGATCTAAATAAACATAAATTATAATACCTGAATAAACTGATACTTAGGAATATCCGTGTATGCTCTGCTTCCGTCAAACATCCTTCTTAATTCCTTCATTACATGCATGTCCACAAATGTGGTATATGTGTATGGATGAACAAAACTTAGCTGTGAAACTTGATACCTAGTTCATTTTCACATACAGTGAATATTCATTATCCCTGGCATAATTTTTAACAAAATTTATAGAATTAATTCCAAGGGTAATTTCCAATCTTAATGCAAATAATTCTTTTGCAAAAATATAAATAAAGAAATTCACTATCACTATTATATCTTATTATTATTCCCTTGGGTTCAGAGTGGAACTTAGTGTTTCAACAACACATACTCACTCTCTTCTACTTGATGCTGCCCTCTTTGTCTGCGTCCATGATTGACCATAATCCCTCATCTCCTCCTATCACATGATCTCGTACATGTCACTCTCCAAACACTCACTCGTTGCTTGCCATGGGTATTCCACTAGAGGGCTTGCTGCGCTATATCTCTCTACGGTTTCCTTAATGTATGCTCGATCCACTTCCATTTTCCCTTACACATTTGTTGAGCATTCGGCTCTTGGTTGGTTTGTTTTCAGCCAGAGTCTCTTGTTGTCAATTTATTTTTAGCCGGTTGGCCATTGGATGTTCAGTATGAAGCCAGCGAAAGTGCCGGTTATTGATAAAGGTCTGTAACTTGTTGGAAATAATTCTCGTGACTGACGTACAGTGCAAGTTTCTGACTTATATGGAAGCACTCACTGACTTCACATTTGTGTTGAAAATACAAATTCTCTTGTTCTGTTTCCCGTGGAGTCCAGTGGAGAAGAATACCAAACTAGTTTCAGGTTGACGATTCTAACTTTGACTTCTTCATCCATTCCGCCTGTTGTAAGAACGATTTTTCCTATATATGTGGGGGAAGTGACCTCTGTCAAATCTCTCCCATTGATGGCGATCGGTGCTGGATGCTGCTGCTATTGGTTGATCGTCTTCATCACCTCCATCTTCTCTATGTCCACCTGGAGTCGTGTCCTCTTTGCTTCTTTAGCCAGTTTGTTGGTTTTCACCTGCAAGTCTTCAAGTTTTTGTGATATCAAACATGAATCATCTACTCTGTCGACGGCCTTTTGAATCCGGTGACGTCAGGGAACAGGTTTCACTACCATTTTATGCTTTTTCAATGACGATGCGCAGAGTCACGATTTGATCAATTCCTGAATCCAGCATATCCAAGAATGTTTCGATTTTCAGTATGCCAAACGATTACAACAGTTTTTATAGGTTTTGGCACGAGTTAATATCAGTCAGAGCACAACTAGATAACTTTGGAGTACTGCACATATTCTTCGCTGTAGTTCTGGGATTTGAACCCAGAATCTTTTGATTTTTAGGCGACTTCGTAGACTATTCAACCACTGGGACTTGCACCCCCGAATTCGCACACTGATGATGACTTCCAAACTAGGACGAGACGGTTATCCAGTACTACCTAGTTCTCTACCTGGAGTTAACTTATGATTCCAGTTGTAACCAATCAGATCCCTGCAAACACTTGATAATTGTTTATGGTTTTCAATGTGTGTCGTTACTATCTTTTGTATTCATTATAAGTAACGTTGAAATTTTCTGAAGAAACACGCAACTATTATTTAGTTTTGAATTCAGGTTTGTACAAAAATATGATATCACTACGAAAATACTGATTTAACCTCATTGATTTCCGTTTACAATATTATTTAAACATCATAAATTTGTTATATATGTCCAAACCAAGTTCACTTTTAACAGTTTAAAAAAATTTGGGGCATTGGGTATATGATATTCATTATAATAAAGGTTTTTGTATTTCCCAGTGAATGAAAAACAAAACGATATTATTGTTTTTACTGACATTTCGCTATTTAATGCTAATAGCTTTCTCAAAGTATTATTAAACCGGAATTTACAAAATCTCAGCATATATACAACAAAGAGTTAGGAAGTGAGAAAATAGACTTAGTTCAACTTAAAAGGACATATTGAAAGTCAAAATAACAATGAAGATCACCAGAACCAAATATCAAAGGTAATAGTACATCTGTTATGATATCAAAACAAAGTTTACTAGCTTGATCATCGTTCGTTAGTCTGGGGTCGTTTTTCGTTGTCAAGTTGGTCAATTGGTGAAGATAACAAAATCAAGTGTAGATTGTTGGATTTGATCAGTGTGTAAAATTATAAAAGCAGTGTGTATTCACATAGTGAACTTGCTTATCACATTCGTGTTGATTTTGTCATTTCATGGGGGGAGGGAAGTGTTGTAACCAGGTCAGATTCTGTTTTAGTCCATCATTCCTATTCATCAGACAATTTGGATTCCACTTGATATGAAGTGCTTCTGATATTAGACGTTCTTTTTGTAATTTTTTTTTTTGTTGTTTTTTTTATTTTGAAAATTAAAATTTTGTTTTGTTTTGTTAGAGTGTAAAAAAATATAGGATGTTTTTTTTAATTCTTAAATATGTTTTTCTAATTACTTATTCTTTTTAAATTTTTTGGGTTTTTTTTTTTTTTTTTTTATTTTTTCTTTTTTGTTTTCTGACTGAACAAAACACCCCACCCCCTCTTTACAAATCAGCTCCCAGAACAAAAATTTCATTGAGGTCTGAAGATTAATTATTAATATTTTATTATGTAGTGGGTTGTTGGCTGATATTGGATGTGCGCCCTTCTCCATTTTTGACTCATCAGATAGAGAGTGTTCCCCCTAAGACTCCTCGTTTTTGGCGCCCAAAATAATATTCAAAAAAACAATTGGACAACAACAACAAAATCTTTTTCGGTGGTGATCAGTCACTGTTTTTTTTTTAAATAAATGTTGATTTTTCTTCTGTCTCAGTGAAAACACCACCACTCACTGGGAAAAGCAAGGAACCCCCCCCTGATTTGTTTCAAAAAAAAATAAAAATGCATCCTGGATTTTTCATTACGTCAAACACAAAAATTTTTAGTTGTATTGAGCAAATAAACACCAGTCCCTCGTTTTTTTTTAATTTAAAAAAAAAAAATGTCTTTTGCTCCCAAAAATGGGTATGTAAACACTACAAAACCTTCATTATGTTTCATTAGGAGGTACTTACTGCTTGTGAGAAGTCTTCAAGTAATAAGCTATAATATATCGCTTGAAGTAATACTGTCTCGTCCGAAGCGTGCTCTGATACTCCAACATGTTCTTCCTCCATTTTCTTCGAAAACAACATGGCAATGGTTAGAAATCTACTTGAAAATGTACATGAGTACAGATTGTACATGTGTCGGTGGTACAGTGGTTAGGACTCTCTCCGACCATGCACATGGTCCGAGGTTCGAGCCCACGCCGACGCACACCTGATATCTATAGTCGGCCTGCGAAATTTGGGCTACCGATATCACATGCTGAAAATTCCAAACTCGTACCCAAAATACAGTGTGGAATCAAGCTGTAATGAAAAAAAAATACTGGCAACTGGATGATTAAAACAGTATTAAGTTAACTTAACAAGATGCATTGAAACGAATAGGAAATATAGGTAGCCCAGAGACTCAAATTTCAAGTCACATCATCACGATACACTTCTATTTCAATATGCACATGGGCTTTTAATGTCTGCGTCGGAACTGTTGATTCCGAAGCGTGTGGACAGTAATGTAAATGAAATAATCACGTTATCGTGATCATTTTGTTGATGAAATACTAAGACGTTGAGAATTTCAGAAGTTCAAAACATACATTTTATTATTTAATCTCTAAAAATAGGCCTACTAAGTAGGAAATAATAAAGCACTAAAAAGATAGATGCCTTCTGAGATAGTGTATACATTTTTAGTCATACTGAGCTTCCAACCCTATCAAAGAAGGACGAGGATCAAAGACATTCACAGCTATCTTGGTGGGATCCATTTGTTTCAGATTTTCCACAGATTTTCATTTCAACTTTTACTAGTGTGTACAATTAGTTTGCAGTATTACTGATGTAGTCTGCAGAATACTTATGATTTATCGCTTTTCACTATAGCTCCAGACAGTCCATCAGTAAGTGACCACTCCACTCCATTGAAGTCTACCGTATGTGATCCACTTCAACCACCGGCTTCAATCAGGGAAATCAACAAAGAAATAGATCCACGCCGGATTATGATCAAGAAAACAATTGGTGAAGGTATGTTATTAACAGTTTGTTTCTTTTCTAAATGTTGTTTCTGGCTAACTTTGCTGTTTAGCATATTATTGGTCCTAAGCCACGTAATCGAATTCTTCAGAGATTTGTATTTTCCTTTCCATTTCGAAGGTCCTAACATTGTGTTGCAACCAACTGAGGAAATATACTTACGGCATTCTTAAGTAATTGAAATATTTATCAGATTTACTCAATTTGACTGCGGAATCAAGTACATAGGTTAAACTGTCAAACAGAGTAAACTAATTATGGGTAAAATTTATTTTGATAAAGTCTCATAGTGTAACACAGTAATGTTCACTGATGACCACGTTTCAAGCACAATTTATTGCTAATCATAATCATATCAAGGTACTCATACAACTTTCCAACTTCGTTAATATAATTGTTTTTCATCGCTTGATTTGATTGGTAGTAGTATTTTCCATATTTCCAGTATGAACGATGAATCATTCCTATTGCATGTGTTTGGTGTAGACTGGATAAACAAAGGTTCAGTAATCAACCTCTCTCTCCACCTACCTAGATTACTTTTTAGAATTTTAACCCTCTCCCATCCTATTGTGTGGTTGTGTTTTCGTGCATCCAGTGCGACTGCTGAGCTTTTTTCTAAATTATTTATCTTCTCGCGGTCAACCATTCTTACCTTAGCTACTTATTTCTTACGTTCCGACAATCTAACTACACCTGACCTACTAGTTTGACCTATGTAGTTGACTTAACTCACAGTTACTGCAGGGCATTTTGTAAATAATATTATTTAGTCTAATTGGATCAACTGGGTCCTTTAGCCTACATAGCTTGTCCCTGAGTGAGTTTGTAGGTTTAAATGCCGTTTTTATTCCTGCCTTATTAAGAATCTTACGTAGGGTCTCAGATGCCCCTTCCTTATATGCACATCTGTGCATCACTCATACTGGAAATATGGAAAATACCACTTCTAATCAAATCAAGCAATGAAAAAACAATGGAATTATATAAATGAAGTTGGAAAGTTGTGTGAGTACTTTGATATGATTATGAGTGGCAATAAATTGTGCTCGAAACGTCATCATCAGTAAACATTACTGTATAACACTGTGAGACTTAACCAAAACAAAGTTTACTTTTAACAGGATTATACTCTACCACAGTGTACAAGTTTTATTCTTATTTCAGAGTAAACTCATTTCACGTTTGAAGGGAATGACTATTCGAGAAGGGTGCCGAATCATCTTTGTAGATGGAGTGACCTTCAGTCAAATAGTCAGATATCGTGTTTTATGGTTAAAATGGTAAGAAAGAAATAGATGCCTGATATTTCGTTCATTGAATCGACACCGAAAAAAATTTAACTTCATTTCATTAGGAACACGTGAGTCAGCATGAAGAGATCTCTTCTGTTCGTAACTTGACTTCAAAAGTGGCTGTTCAGTTATTTAGGAGGTTTAGAATATACAGTGTAGATTGACAATAACAAAAGTCAAGGGTTAGTGTCAATCAGTAACTGGCTAAAACAAATTTTTTGAGTAGAAACAATCGTTGAAAACTTTGGAATAATATTACGTAAACAAAAGAGTTGACTTAAGTATGAAACTTGAGCACTGTGGCAAAGTATAACTATAACATCTGCATTCCAAGAGTGACACATACATTCTTTCGCCCTGCCGTAGCCATAGCAAATTTCTTAATATATATATATATACATATATAACTACATTAAGAAAGTTTTATGAGTGACTTGCTTTAATTATGAGCAATAATTTGTGCTCGGAACGCCGTCAGTTAATATTTCTGTACAACACTCTGATCTGTCAAAATAAAACCTTATCTATAATGGAAGAGGGTTGACAGCTGATTAGTTGAGTGACAAGTATTCGTTAGGAAAAAGTTGGTAAGAAACAAGAGTACAAAAGATCGAAAATGAGGTGCAAATACATAAACTGGACTGTTCAAGTGTTGGTTTGTAGGGATTTGATTGGTTACATGATTTCATCATAAGCAGACATCGGTTAGAGAACCCCTGGAAACCTGTGAGTAATAGACAGCTGTTTCGTCCTAGTTTGAGACTATTCATCAGTACGCACCCACCGGAATTCGAACCCAGAACCTTCTGGTTACAACGATAGCGAGCTCATTGACCATTAAGCCACTGGAACCCGCTCCAATGGCTCATGAATTCTTATTTCCGCTGATTCACGAGATAATGCGACCACTAGCCAATGTCTTCGGCGAGTATTCATCTTCGCACCTGACCTGCTGCACCCTACTGGTCACCACTTCTCTATAGAACACCAGGTAAGTACCTAAGTGAATAGGGCGAGTCACTCGTCTTGTAACCAGAAGGTCTTGGACTCGATCCGCGGTGTGTGCGTACTGTGAAGAGTCCCAAACTAGGCCGAAACAGCTGTTCAGCACTCCTAGGTTTTCCAATGGTTCCCCAGCCACTGTCAGCTCATGATGCAATCCTGTAATAAACTGGACTACTTAGATCTTATTCTAAAGTTATTCAGTAAGAAAAAATATTACTAAGTCCATGATGACAAAAACGGCTGAATAAAATGGCTGTGAACACACAGCTCAAGTTTCTCCTTACGGATTGCTATGCCCTTGGCTGCATGAAGAACATGTTGCAAGAACCCTTTAGAATGTCTCGGACGTAATTTATATGTATGACTCTGAAAAATGTCTCTGCTAATGCTGTGCGACCAGAGATAATAATATGCTCCAGAATCGAGCTGTTGACTGTCCTACATTCTTTTGATAACCATGCTTCTAAGTATTTATAGAAAATATTCTTCTGTCACGACTTAAATACTTAGCTCCTCAGGAGTAGGTGAATTTTTAAATACACACTGGAGTCGCTAACAGCGGGATCCTGTCTTCGACGTTTGGTGAATAAGAGCATGTGTAGAGAAACTGAGGCGAAGAAATATAAAAAGTACCTAAATGATCCTACAGATATGAAAGGAAGTTACGAAGTGAAAAGATCTCTCCGTTGACTCATGCATTCTTAATATTTTATACTGAAATAGTCGTCAGAAAGCTATATTGCATCATTATATATTGCTTGAAATATTTATTACCTTCTTTGCGGTAGTTGTGAAATTTCACTCCAATGAATAGGGTGGCAAATTCAGTTCATCTGATAAGACATTTAAAAATTTAAGGTCTATGACGACGATTGCCAAAAAACTGCTAGTCAAAATATTTATGATGTCAGGTCTAAAATATTGCAGAAATGTCTTTAACATCAATTTTAAAGAGAAATTTTGGTGCTTTTACCCACACAGATCTAATAACTTTATAGAAACTTTATCAATGTTCATAGATATTTGTTCAGTTTTTAATGTTATGTATGTAGTAAGCAAACTGTAGAATATTGTCAATATGTGCCGAAAAACCTTACCACTACCATGAAGAATATAGGTTAAACGATAGAAATATTCCTTATCATAACCATTTCTCAGGTCATCTACTTCCAATATAAAATGCCTTGAGCATGATTTATGAAATTAGATCAAATCATTCAGAAAGGTTTCACTAAGATATGTGTATAGGATACGAATTTACCTTAAATGAAGCAAAAGAATGCCTACTAACGAATGAAAATGACTTTATTAAGTTGTTTTAGTTGCATTACGTAAAAATTTACAAATTTTCAACCTCTAGAATATTTTCCTTCATAAGCTGTCCTTATTTTACGTGCTCACTGATGACTTTTTGATAATTTCCTGTAAGAATTTGCATATTGTTTGACTGAAATAACGATGTATGCTTCCGAAATGTGCGTATGTGGCACAGCGGTAGAATGCTTGCCAACCACGCAGGTTGTCCAGGGTTCGACTCCCGGCGCCGACGCACTCCTTTGCCTCGATAAGCCAGAATAAGACTGGTAAAGAGGGAAGGTTGGGCATGAGGTTAGCAGCCTCGTCCTGCAAAAAATAAACACCACTGCTACAGAAACTTCAAGCCTCAAGCTTGAAGCTTTGCAAGTTTTTTTCAAAATAATATGGATATGGTAGGCAAAATTCATACATGTCGTTTCTCAATCGGGTTCGACTCCAGCGATGGCTTGCGCTGAGCGCGATGTCACCCAACGGTTTCCTCAGTGTGTATCCGATCTACCTCCACTTTCTTCGATATACTGGTCGAGCAATAGGTCATTTTTAAACTACATAGACATATTTACTAGACATCACATTAGGAGGTACTTAGATACAATTAACTTTGTACGTATGTGCAGATGTGAGCATAAATGAATTTGCTCACAGTTTCGTGAATTTTGTTGATAGGGTTATTCGGATAATCTTATTAGAAGACGGAGGTTAACTGATAAAAATGTGTGAGGTGTATTTGCATATTAATTTTGCACAGTAATTTTGCCTCTTCTATTGATGTAAATACTCTCAATAGATCTTTTATCCGCCCTCCAAATGTCCCTTCTGCCTTCAATTTAACTAATAACACGACCAGTGACTTTCATAGTTTCAATACTTCTGATGTTCTTAAATGTTTGAAATCTCTTAAACCTTCCCAGAGTCTAGGCCCTGATGGTATACCTGCCATTGTTCTAAAGAAATGTGCTGATATTTTAAGTAACCCACTTACAAGCATTTTCAATACTTCTTTTTCTAATAATAATGTACCTTCTCTGTGGAAAGATATTAAAATCATCCCTGTACCCAAGTCTGGTTCTGGAGATAGTGTTAAGTTTAGACCAATTGCCATTACCTCTCCTTTTTTGAAACTGATGGAGAAATTACTGTTACAAAAACTCATTCCCTCCCTAAGCTTCTCAAATGATCCAAAGCAGTTTGCTTACAAACAGGGTAGAAGTACTTTGGATGCTGCTGCTGTGTTTCATCACAACATTGTATCCTCCTTAGACAAAGGGGCCAAGTATGTCCGTTGTACTTTCCTTGATTACACATCTGCTTTTGACTCTGTACCTAGAGGCCTTTTGTTAAACAAGCTTAGCCTTACACAAACTGAGTCCTGGGCTATCAACTGGCTGCACTCTTACTTCTCCAATAGGATGCAGTACACGGTATATAATGGTGTAGCTTCCTCTCCTTTGCTTACTGAAGCTGGTGTTCCTCAGGGTGCTGTTCTCTCGCCGTTTCTCTTTTCCTTCTTCTTACATGACTTACCTCTCTCAGACGAAATCAACTTCGTCAAATATGCAGATGACCTGACTGTTTCGCTTCCCGTTAAGTCTCAGTCAGACTGCTTCAAATTAAATAGCTTCCTGTCGGACATCAGTCAGTGGTCTAAACTAAATGGCCTCACGCTGAATCCCTCAAAATGCCAGACTGTCGACTTCTCCTTTAGGCATAAACGAGATCTACAAACACTAGTAAGCACTCATGATGTCTGTAGAATTGAGGGGACTATAATTGAAACAAAGTCTAATGCAAAATACCTCGGATTAGTTATATCTTCCGACCTTACTTGGTCATCTCATATCCAAATGATTTCCAAGAAAGTGTTTCGTCTAACCTACTACATTAAGAAACTCAGACTAACTGGAGTCCCTCAACCTCTGCTTTCACAATTTGTCAACTCTCGTATCCTACCTATTCTACTTTACTGTTCCCCGTTAGTCTTTCCTGGGTTACTGAAAAAGGATTATACCATCCTGAGAAGGATGTTGAAGGTAGTTAGTAGGACTAGCGGTGTAAAACTCAGTCAGCTCGTCACAACATTAGTGGATAAGCATCTGAATACATGTGAAAAATGGTCTAAAACCATACTCTCTGACCCCCAACACCCCCTCTATTCCCAACTCTCTCCTTGCATCTCATCAGGTAGAACCAGAAATCAGTACAAAATAATATATGCTCGTACAACCAAGTATAGGAACTCAACGATACCATATTTGGCCCGTGTTCTAAGTGACAGAGACAATTTAAGCGTGAAACCTATGACTTGCTTTGTTGTTAATAACATAATTTTGGCCCTTGTTATTTCCCCCTTACACTCTCTTATTTGTACTCTATAGTAAACAACCTTCTTAAACATACTTAGCTACTGAAAATTTTATCAATGGCTTAATTTTTTATTCTTTATTCCATGCCTTCTTTTGGATATCTACTGGGTTGATGATTATTACAAAATTGTCCTGTCATTAACCATCATGTAACTCTGAAATGTTTATTTTATGATTTTTTAGAGTAGTTCAATCAAATTAACTGATCATCTTGGCTATAAACATTCTTAAGAACATCTCATAATTTCTTGTATGATTATAGCTGTTACTGTTCACCACGCATGCACATATCATAGCTTCCACTACCAAATACTGAAATATTTTTTTCATTATTTGTGTTTATCTTCCTGTCTACTTGGTATTTTTATTTGTATTTTTTTGTCATTTCTGTGTTTCTTTTTTGGTTTTTTTTGTTGTGTTTTTTTATATTTATTTTTTTGTAATACTCCTTTTAGATGTACGATGAAATTAGATGCAATATTGTAGATATGTGCTGAAAATTCCACACTGTACCACAAGTACTGTTTCTGGAATAAAAGCGGAATTGTTAAAAAAGAATTAAATTTAGAATGGCTTGACCACACATTTACTCGACATTCGTAACACTCTCTATGCTGCCCAGCTTATAATTATTGGAAAAGCCCCATAATTACACAAGTGATAACGTCTCATTAGATGCCATATACCATTTTATTTGTGTGTGGTCACACATATATGTAGGGAATTAATCGCAATTTGTATGTGATAGTGGAGGGGAGTATATACCCCAGTAGTTAGAAAAACAAATGAACTGTAGAACCTAGAGAAATGCCAATTACACAGATTACCAACTCCGTCTACAGTAAAGCGACTAATTGCTATGAATCATTCATTGGTGCTTGCTGAAGTACGCTGAGCAGATGGCTATCAGTAAAACTAGGCCCAACTCCTCTGTGACTACAAAAACAATTCATTATTACTCCTGAACCACCTTGGCAATCCTTATCTGGTTATATCACTCAAGTAGTGTTATTAATTGTCATCTTTATCAGTAGATCTCAAATCACTTTCTTTCTTTTCGGTGTGATCTGACTGTTCGAAATTTATTGCGCAGACACATCACATGTTTCAGCTAATCTTCGTCTTTTTAGTAACACTGACCTGATATGTATCCACATATATATATTTATGTGTGTGTGTGCATGTTGGTCTCTCTTTCTGTTTGCTCGGTTAGTCTGTGACCACTTCACTTGTATGGACTTGTCTCCTTTAACAATGTATATTCCATATTATATTATATATAATATGAGTGTTTGTTGACAGTCCGTTGCTTGGTGACATATATCCATATATGTTTGTTGGCATGTCTGCTATATTCGCTATGTATAATTGGATCGACACTCCATTATAATTAGCCATTCATGTTAAGACTGTCTAATGATTTTTCCCACGCTTGTCTGAATTATTTATATATTCGCATTCACAATTTGTGTGAACTACTTTACTTTACAACTACTTTACTTACTTACCACTTTGGTGTGAGACCATTTATTTTCGTCTCCTTGTGTTTGGACAATAGAAGTATCATCGCAAACCTAGTGGTCTTCTGATTTCCGCCTTCTCGCGTCAGGACTATTAGTTTATCGACCAGTCCATAACAATTTAGCGACGAGTACATAACAATTTGGCGACGGGGAAAACTAGTACATAACATGACCAAATTTATTAAACCGGCTAATAGTTTTTATTTTTGAAAATCGTCATGTTTCGAGTCTTAGGACTGCCTGTATATCATCTCATTTCAATTTAGTAATGTTAATTCAACCTAGACAGTTGTTTCATGGTCATTCGGGAACCGCACTCATTATGTCTAGACCTCAGGACCTTAGAGTTATAAGGCAAGCTCGTAAACCATCCAGCCATTAGGATCTAGTTCAGTTGCCTATGAACTACAACTGCTACCAAATTGTGATTTTTTAGTGCGACCACCAGCCAATGTCAACAGCGAGGATTTGTCCCCACTGGTCACAACTTCTTACTAGAACGCCGAGCAACTTCGTCCTGTAGCCATTTATTAGCGAGCTTCATATTCGCCGTTGTATCGGGTTCCAGTGGCTTAATGGTCTACGTGCTGGCTAACCTTGTAATTAGAAGGTCCTGGGTTCGAACCCCGGTGGGTGTGTCCTAATGAAGAGTCCCAGATAAGGATGAAAGAGCTGTCCAGTACTGCCAAGCTCTCCAATGTTTCTCTAACCGATGTCAGCTCATGATGAAATCCTGCAACTAGTCTAAGGGGTTAGCTTGTCGGGGTTTAATCTGATCTAAGTTTGATCACGGAGTGATACACCAAAAGGTCCTGAGTTCGAACTCTTGTCATTACATACTGATGAAAAGTTGCAAACTATTATGAAAGAGTTGTCTAATGCTCCTCAATTTTCAATAATTCTCTAACTGGTATCCATCCGTGATCAAACTTAAAACAAACCAAATCCGTACAAACTAAAGTTTGAAAGTAATGTTATTATTTTAATATTTTTTATGTCTCTTTTCTCTCTCTCTAGGAGAATTCGGTAAAGTATGCGCTGGTGATTTTTTAGCTTTGCCTGACAGTAAACCACAACTTGTTGCTATAAAAATGTTACATCCAAATGTCAATGAAAAAACACGTCAAGATTTTTTAACAGAAGCAGACACAATGAGTCAGTTAGATCATCCAAATATTGTACAGTTGATTGGATTAGTAACTCAATCAGAGCCTAAAATGATAATTATTGAGTTTATGGAGAATGGATCACTTGATAATTTTCTCAGAGTAAGCAATTTCTTATCAGCAGTTATTACTTTTTTTAAAGATTTCTGATTACTATTTTTGTATGCGAATGTGGGTAAAGGCATAAGCCTTCTTAAGTATTACGGCAAAGAGGAGTACAAGAAGAAGGGCTTATCTTTTTGTGAAAACAGCTATCAAGTTTTCAATGAAGTATGCTAATCTAAAGTTTTATTCACTTTTTAGATGAGAAATTAGTATTTCCCTTGGTCGCAAGTGGAAGACAGGGCTTCAGTAGTATGTTTCAATTTCATCCTGCTCTCCGCAGACGACTTCAGCTGCCACTTTGACTGCTAATATTCCTGTCATTACCTCATCACATTATCGCCTATATATCACATCCGGAAATATGCCTAACTCATCGTTTCCCATTCACTTTGTACTCGAGCGGTAGTCTGAATCAAGCGCCATGGCACCAAACACCTTCCTCAGTGTGTGTCCAATCTACCTCTACCTTCTCCGAGATATTTGTTGAGTTCGCTTCCGGAATTTATTGTTGCTAACGCTTTCTGACCGGTCATCTGATCTTCATTATGTCGTCAAGGCGGCTCTTGACATAAGTGTGTGATAGCCTGTTGGAAATGCATTTGGTGGCCCTCAAGCAACGCTTCTGACCCATACATAAGGAGTGATTGACTTAACATTGCTGTTGAAATTTCCATTTTTGTTCTTCATGCTAAGTGCAGAAGATTTCCGCACTGATTTCGAGGGAATTAAGGTCTGTGTTGCCTTCCCAACATTGTATATTGCATGAACACTCCACGTTTCAATGCTTATTTTTGTTTTCATATAAAGAAGGCACATCGACTCAATGGCTTTCCGAAGGCTTCCAACAGACCACGTCATTCCATCTCTCCGATTTCAGCAAAGAATGGGTTTCAATTTTCTGTAGTCAATGGGTTGATTTTCCGGGGTAGGGGCAATAGCCTCGTGCCCAGCCTCCTGTCTTTCCCCAGACTAATTACTAGCTATAAAACCAGGGCTCCAGGATATATACATATATATATATATATACCATTTCTGGAGTGTATTGTTATCTCAGTGTACATCACTACCAAAGAATGAAGATAACTTAACAAGGCTTACACTGATAGAAACTGAGATCCTACTATAGCATACCACTAAGTCCCCTCAAATGTAAATGATGTATAGCTGACTACAGGTAATTCTGAAGTCACACCTAAGTTTGTAAAACAATTTGCTAGAAGAAACAAAATATTGGAACTTTAAAATGGAAAAACAGAATCATTTTGATGTGGTTGCATTCTCTGAGCTGTGTGACTTAGTCGCGAAGCTTCTACTGTCTATGGAGAATTCAGATATGTTCACTTCATACAGCAACTTACTCTGAAGATGTTGTCTAGTGAGATAATGACATCTCCTCAGTTAAATCATCCAGATTAGAGTATCCAGTCACATGAAAACCATCCAAATGAGCTACAAATCTTCTCTATTATTTCAAATTCAGAATTGAATGGCTGGGGCGAACTCTGTAAATGCTTTGAATGTCCCTTAACACCATATTTGGCCTATAAACACGATTATCTCGACTGGATAGCATGCATCTGATATCCTGGAAAGGTTTAAATGTAACCAAGTAAACAGGTCATCGCATGGGTGTTAATTTCTCCACTTAATTATTTTGAACATGCACTAAACTTAATTATTTATAAATTTTTAGCCAGATTTGTCCTGTTATACAATACAAGTGAACAAAAATAAGCGTAGTAGTGTTATTCGATGGGCATTACTAGCAAACTAAGTACTTTCTACTCCATACCACATAAATGCTGCATTAGATACATTCTGCGTCGATGGCACAGTGGTTAGGACTCTCGCCGACCATGCACATGGTCCAGGGTTCGAGCCCCTGCCGACGCACACCTGATATCTATGGTCGGCCTGCAAAATTTGGGCTACCGATATCCATGCTGAAAATTCCATACTTGCACCGAAAATACAGTGTGGAATCAAGCTGTAAATCAAAAAAAAACAAATGTTGAGGAAATCTGAATTCATGTATTTTAAAGCCGATTTCTTCTTATCCAAAAACTGGGAAAATATCCAAAGTTATATTTATAGAAATATTTAATTATGCATGAGGAAATATATAATTAATTTTATTTCACAAAAAAGTAACCAGTTGTAATTATAGTTTAGTGAATGTTACATACAAAAATAAATAAATGCTTTTGTAATAAAGTTTTAAGTGAATTTCAAAATGTCTCATGTGGAGGAACTCAATAAACACAAAGGTTTCTAATGAGGTAAATGTATTCACTTATCAAGTAACACAATAGAATCTACTGCTTTCTCATAGATAAGTTCATGAAATTTTGAGAAAGAAATTAAACCATTTATAATCCTCTGGCAGTGCTGACGCTGCGTTGGTGTTGCAGCAGTGGTAAAATGCTAGCCAGCCATGATGACGGTCAAGGTTCAAGTTACAGCCTACCTGATGCTGGTCCACCTAATTTAGTAACCCACTCTATTCTGCAATTGAAGAAGGGTTATGGAAGGTTGGCAACCACACTACCACCACAATTAAAAGAGACAGAATCTTTATGTTCCACTTCAGACGCAGGGAATGTCAATATATCTCACTACAATACCAGAATAAACAATATTATCCCCTTTTTAGTAATGAGACGAGAATATTACTTATATTAAATTAAATTAAACTGTTGAAACAAAGCGTGTTGGAGTTGCTAGCTTCACCCTCTATTCTCCCTATTTCTTGGCCTTATAGTCGGTTAAGGGAGGTATATGTATGTGCTGTCCATGAGTCGAACTCTGAACCATATGCATGGTTAGCGAGCATTCTACCGCTACACCATTATCGCCACTGATAATGTTGATCCACCATGGGAAACGGCTGTCTGGGTATTGTGCCACAGGGTAGTACTGAACGTTGGTCTCATCTCTCGAAGGGCAAGGGTAAGTGTGTTCGGTTCTTCTCCTTAAACCAGTTTATGAATGCCTAGTCAGCGGGTGTGTCATTGTGTGAAGTGAGATTTTTCCTTTAGACAAAAATGTTGGCTAGAAATAAGTAACAGTAAAGTTTTTCAGGGGTTATAAAAGGAATATCAACCTTATTTATACACAGGGCATGTCAAATTAAGATGAAACCGTCTCGTCACAAGGCGAGCTTGTGGAACGTTAAGCCACTCGGAATCGATCCAATGGCTATTCTATGACTTCTAACTTCTGCCAATTCATGACATAACGTGACCACTTCGCAGTGTTTCCTTCGATGAGTGGCTGCCTCACATTCAACCTGCTGTACCCTACTGATGATGCCTACCTACTTTAACCCCAGGAAAACTGCCTGAATAGGGCCAGTCACTATTGAGCATCAGATCAATTCTCAAGTGTTGGTTTTGTAGGGTACTGCGTACTAATGAAGAGTCCCAAACTAGGCTGACGAAACAGCTTTTCAGTACTCTCTGGAGATTTTCCAATGGTTCTCTAAATGATATGTGCGTCGGTGGCACAGTGGTTAGGACTGTCGCCGACCATGCACATGGTCCGGGGTTCGAGCCCACGCCGACGCACACCTGATATCTATGGTCAGCCTGCGAATTTTGGGCTACCGATATCCATGCTGAAAATTCCACACTTGTACCAAAAATACGGTGTGGAATCAAGCTGTAATCAAAAATAAAAATAAAAAAATAAAATAAAAATAGATGAAATCCCCTAACCAATAATACAGAAAATCACAAAACTTATCCATCGTATTTACTTCTGTTACAATCTAGCATTACTTCATCGGACCATTTGTTTTTCTTAGCCTTTATCAACTGCCTCTATCTGAATGTTTGTTTGTATAACCATGCCACTTTTCATTATCCCTGTTATCACAAATCTCTTCACTTTTTCGTTGTTGTAATTATTATGAATTATGAGTGACTGTACAATTCATATGAACAGTTTTATCATCCTATTGTTGGGTCTCCATGACTATTTCATGTTTAATACATATTTGCATAGTTATGTATATAAGAGCAACAACAACTGGTGAGATCTAATTGAAGACACTGCTGTTCTCTCGCATGTGTTGTTCTAAAGTATTAATTCTTAGTTTTGTGTAAAACAATTCTCTGTGCAGAAAAATGGTGGCAAATGAGTGTTATTCATTAAACACACTGTAATTACGACTATGTGTGATTGCATATCTTGGCGCATACTGCAGTGTATTTATAACATTTACGCACAGACTTTGTTTACGTAGTGTTTTTAAAGAAAAGTGCTGTTTATATAAACAGATATCCGAAAGTATAGAGATTTGTATTTAATGATATGGACGTTCTGGCATTTTTTCAGATGAATTTATCTACGGCAAACCTTACAGTAACATCATAGTAATCTGAAAGTTGATTAATCTGTGCCAATAGGAATGAAATACACATCCAGAGCAGTCTCACTCCATACAGATTACAATATAAAGGCATCGTATACGACTGAAACCGTCTCACTGTGTTCTGAATATAGGAAACTGATCCCTGCGTCCTACTGTATAGCTGGCAAAACCTTCTTCAGATAGGCACAGTCACAAAACGTTCCAAAGGCAACAGAAACATGATTGTTAGTGCTTAGATCTATGCGTGGCTCCATTGAACAATAACACCATCAAAAACTCAAAATTAACTGATCGGTGCTGTTAAAGCGACTATACAGCCTAGACAGTTTTCGGTACAAAACAAGTACAGTAGCACGAAATTAGTCAACCTAAATTCATCTCTAAGAGAAGCATCTGTGAATCACGTAAAATATTCCCAACAAGCTGGGAACAAAACTCTGTCAGCAAGAATCACACACCAACAATTAAATCTAGTCTCAGAGACGCTTACATTCACACAGACAAAACTACGTAGTTAAACAAGACATTGTAAGTCAACCGGAGATATGAGAATGTCAGGATAATGTGTCACCTAAGAGGAAAGAGGAAAATGATTAGAAATTCGGTTAAAACATCCGAATAA